CAACACAAGCTTCCGTCTTCAGGTGGAACCGTCACAGCACGATAGCTGTGTCAAGTAAGATAAATTCCAAGAAAACAGTCATTGTAAAGCGATGGGTATTACCTTGTTATCTCGGCATCTCTTGAGGAAGGCCAGCGTCTCGAGAAGCTGTGACTTCTTATCTCGTTGTCTGTTAAAAACTCTAACAGATAGGTGGAATTCCTCCCCGTAGAGGGTATTAATTCTAGATTTGAAGCTTTCGTGACTGCAAGGATTCATATTCTTAGGTTTTTTCGGTAAAGTCACGTAGGTAAAAAAATAAAATTAATAAAAGTAAAATAAAATAAAAATCACGACGTTTCAGAGGCAACACAAGCTCCTTTCAAGACTGGAGATTCGCACCAGCAGTGACTTAAGTAGTGGCTGTCGCCAGACTCCACAATGGCCGTGATGTGAAGGGTTTGGACGTGGGGCTTCTCGAACCTGCCGCATGCTCTGGTTGATGTTTCTGACATCACTGAGCCCTCACGTGGATTCTCGCGCAGAAGTGTCGCAGCAGGAGCAATGTTGCCAGGGTTTTGGGTTTTGCGTTGATTTGTCCATTCTTAGGACAACTTCATACTGGTAGGAACCTCCTGGTTACACCAGCCCACAGGGGATTATTGTGTCCGTCCGGCCGTCGTGAATCCAAAAATGGGAGGGGTGGGGCTGGGTGGGGAGGGGCTGGTCACCCCGTGGTGCCCTTATAAAACTCAACGTTTAACCTACTCACGCCGGCTTGTGCCCGCCCTCACAGTCGGGCATATTTGCGGAATACACCACGCTGCCGTTGACCCTGGCCATTGACCGAGCAACCCAACGTTCATACCAGCTCCCTCCGCAGGAATGTGTTTGGCTGCTACAGTTTTCCACATTATGAACCATTTCGTTGAGGCTATCGTATGATTGCCAGGTCGCTTCTGAAAAAAGAGCGATAGATCTCAGTGTGGGACCTTACCTGGTAAAATAAAAAGATAAAAATCTTTTAGTTTCAAAGCATGGTACAGAGCCTGTTATTAATGTACAAGCTCAGGGCCTGCCACTTCACCCAACAAGAGGTGGGGTTTTAGTAGGGCATGCCTGCATTCACACCTTTAGTAATCTTCTCCCTTGGTGAACTGTAGGCCATTTTCGAGTGAAATGGCATTTGTGTCTGTACAGGAAATCCTCGCTTAACGCGGTAGATGCGTTCCTGAAAAGCGCCACGTGAAGCGAAAACTTGTCTCCAATAAATAATATAACGAGAGAGTTTGGCGAGATACCCTGTATGTACACACAGCAACATGGGGCACAGCTCAGGATACAGTAGTTAGTCGTCGACCCCTCAGTTGGCCTTAGGGGCCGTCCATAAATGACGTCACGCGATTTTGGATGATTTTTGACCACACGACGTCACAAAAAGTCAGACCCCCCTCAAATATGACGTCACAAAGCTCTCCCCCCCCCCCCCCCAAAATCGCTTTAAACATTGTAGTGCGTATTTAATGTGGCGCTGTACTCTGATGTCGTAGGGGAAAACTATTATTAAAAAGTTTATTTAATTAAGTAGAACGTGTTGTCGAAATGTATTTAAAGTTGCGCATTTTGATGTGACGTCACATTTCTCAAACCCCCCTCCCTCTCTCGTCACACACATCGTCACAAATGTCTGAGCCCCCCCTAGGTGCGTGACGTCGTTTATGGACGGCCCCTTACCTGTTAAAATAAAAGTTTTTTTCGTCAGTTTATAGCATCACCACCTCCTTCGCCATGTCTGCCATAAACATGGCTATTCGCTGTGCCATCTTGGTTCCTTCATAGCAGATATATTAAGTGCTATGAAAAGAAGGGTCATTGCCCCAAAACTCCACGTAAAGTCACAGTATTATTGACAAAAGTGTTGAGTGAAGAGAAGTGGGTTATCAAGTAATTTTAATAATTGGCTGCAGCTGGGAGCATCTAATGGAAATTTCTTGAGTAAATATGGCCAGAGCTAAATGTATGTATGTGGAACTTCTTTCACAATGTACGTAGCCAAACGTGCTCAATGGAAGCAAAGCCACGACTACCGACATTTTCAAGAAGGGACATGGCACATGCAATTCAATCCTATTAACCGTAAATATTTTTTCTTTTAAGGCCGCAGTGTCATTGACAAATGTGTCGAGTTTTTTTATTGCGCATGTGCACCACTGCCAATGCAACAGCAGGGTCACCAAATAATGTATCTGCCTTCCACAGGCACAGATTATCGCTGCCTTCCACCAATCACCTGTGCCCACCCCCCTCTCACCCTCCCCCCTCTCAGCCTCCCCCCACCCCCCCTTGCCGCCCCCCCCCTTTCTTCCTTCTCTAGCTCCGCCTACTTACCCTTGGGTTGGGCTAACCCTTTATAAACTTCTAGATTTGAAGCTTTCGTGACTGCAAGGATTCATACTCTTAGGTTTTGTCGTACTACGTGACTTCACCGAAAAAACCTAAGAGTATGAATAATTTGTAAACTCTTGTTGACAGCACCTCTTTCCAGAGGTGGGACAAAGTCATTGTTATGCAAGTCCAAGTCGAGTCTGAAGTCATCAAATTCATGACTCGAGTCTGACTCGAGTCCAAGTCACATGACTCGAGTCCACACCTCAGAGGTGGGACAAAGTCATTGTTATGCAAGTCCAAGTCGAGTCTGAAGTCATCAAATTCATGACTCGAGTCTGACTCGAGTCCAAGTCACATGACTCGAGTCCACACCTCAGAGGTGGGACAAAGTCATTGTTATGCAAGTCCAAGTCGAGTCTGAAGTCATCAAATTCATGACTCGAGTCTGACTCGAGTCCAAGTCACATAACTCGAGTCCACACCTCTGCCTCTTTCTCCTATATCAGCGGTTGTCCTGCTGTATCGGTGCCACCTGATGAAGGTCGCTTGTGTTGCGATCGAAACGTCGTGATTTGTATTATTTTATTTCTAACTACGTGACTTTACCGAAAGAACCAAAGAGTATGGTTATCACGTAATTCACTGTTTATGGGCAACACAGATTGAAATCGAAAACCACTAAAGTGATGCCACTTCTAGTGGTACTAACAAGTGAAAGATGGTACATGCTACATTTAGGTGGTAGTAAATTCCTCCTCTGACCCATGGGCGAATGCTGACCAACCAAATTCATGCTCCGGCCCATGGGCTAATGCTGGTCTCCCAAATTCCTTCTCTGACCCATGGACTAATGCTGACCAACCAAATTCATGCTCTGACCCATGGACTAATGCTGACCAACAAAATTCATGCTCTGACCCATGGACTAATTCTGACCAATCAAATTAATGCTCTGACCGATGGACTAATGCTGACCAACCAAATTCATGCTCTGACCCATGGACTAATGCTGACCAACCAAATTCATGCTCTGACCCATGGACTAATACTGACCAACCAAATTCATGCTCTGAACCATTGACTAATGCTGACCAATCAAATTAATGCTCTGACCCATGGCCTAATACTGACCAACCAAATTCATGCTCTGACCCATGGCCTAATACTGACCAACCAAATTCATGCTCTGACCCATGGACTAATACTGACCAACCAAATGCATGCTCTGACCCATGGCCTAATACTGACCAACCAAATTCATGCTCTGACCCATGGACTAATACTGACCAACCAAATTCATGCTCTGACCCATGGACTAATACTGACCAACCAAATTCATGCTCTGACCCATGGCCTAATACTGACCAACCAAATTCATGCTCTGACCCATGGCCTAATACTGACCAACCAAATTCATGCTCTGACCCATGGACTAATACTGACCAACCAAATTAATGCTCTGACCCATGGACTAATACTGACCAACCAAATTAATGCTCTGACCCATGGACTAATGCTAACCAACCAAATTCATGCTCTGACCCATGGACTAATGCTGACCAACCAAATTCATGCTCTGACCCATGGACTAATACTGACCAACCAAATTCATGCTCTGACCCATGGACTAATGCTGACCAACCAAATTCATCCTCTGACCCATGGACTAATGCTGACCAACCAAATTCATGCTCTGACCCATGGACTAATGCTGACCAACCAAATTCATCCTCTGACCCATGGACTAATACTGACCAACCAAATTCATGCTCTGACCCATGGACTAATACTGACCAACCAAATTCATGCTCTGACCCATGGACTAATACTGACCAACCAAATTCATGCTCTGAACCATGGCCTAATACTGACCAACAAAATTCATGCTCTGACCCATGGACTAATGCTGACCAACCAAATTCATGCTCTGAACCATTGACTAATACTGACCAACCAAATTCATGCTCTGACCCATGGACTAATACTGACCAACCAAATTCATCCTCTGACCCATGGACTAATACTGACCAACCAAATTCATGCTCTGACCCATGGACTAATACTGACCAACCAAATTCATGCTCTGACCCATGGACTAATACTAACCAACCAAATTCATGCTCTGACCCATGGCCTAATACTGACCAACCAAATTCATGCTCTGACCCATGGCCTAATACTGACCAACCAAATTCATGCTCTGACCCATGGACTAATACTGACCAACCAAATTAATGCTCTGACCCATGGACTAATACTGACCAACCAAATTAATGCTCTGACCCATGGACTAATGCTAACCAACCAAATGCATGCTCTGACCCATGGACTAATACTGACCAACCAAATTCATGCTCTGACCCATGGACTAATGCTGACCAACCAAATTCATGCTCTGAACCATAGGCTAATGCTGACCAACCAAATTCATCCTCTGACCCATGGACTAATACTGACCAACCAAATTCATCCTCTGACCCATGGACTAATACTGACCAACCAAATTCATCCTCTGAACCATAGGCTAATGCTGGCCAACCAAATCCCCGCTCTGACCCACCGACTCCACCGCAGTGAATTAAAGCCGCGGCGTCACCGATGACGCGGCTCAGACAACATCGTTCCATTGGCCCAGACGCGAGAACAAAACAGGGCAGCATCAGCAGCTGCAGCAACAGCGAAGGAGGGACACACGGCTCGGCCTCTCTCTCTCTCTGTTTGTGTCTCCGTAGCGTTTCGTAAACGTCTCTTCCCTGCTCTTCAATCTCTTCATTCTCCACGTTCGGAGCCGTGTATTGCCCGTGTAGGGTAAGCCACACACACACACGCGCGTCTAGACACCGGTTCATTGGATACGAACGGGTTGACTTGCTTGTTGAGTACGACTGCTGCTGCTACTGCTGCTGTACCGAGTTGTTCGTCCAGGGATTCTCTCCGTACGGACGCGCGTTTAAAGCCCCATGATAGTCGAACGAGCTCGTCGACTCAAGCGAAGTGTGCCGTGGCGACTGCTTACTACTGCTGCTGCTACTGCTGCTGCTGCTACTGCTGCTGCTGTTACTGCTGCTACTGCTGTTGTTGCTATTACTGCTACTACTGCTGCTGCTGTTACTGCTGCTAATGCTGCTGCTGCTACTGCTGCTACTGCTGCTACTGCTGCTACTGCTGCTGCTGTTGTTGCTATTACTGCTACTACTGCTGCTGTTGCTTTTGCTGCTGCTACTGTTGTTGCTATTACTGCTGCTACTGCTGCTGTTGCTATTACTGCTGCTACTGCTGCTGTTGCTTTTGCTGCTATTACTGCTGCTACTGCTGCTGTTGCTATTACTGCTGCTACTGCTGCTGCTGTTGTTGCTATTACTACTGCTGCTACTGCTGCTGTTGCTATTACTGCTGCTACTGCTGCTGCTGTTGTTGCTATTACTACTGCTGCTACTGCTGTTGTTGCTATTACTGCTGCTACTGCTGAACGTGCTTTGGGTGCGTTGTAGTGGGGAGCGGTGGCGCTGCGGTGGCGTTGCTGCTGGCGGGCTCGGCCCCAACAACGATCGGTGGGGCCCACTCGCGATCAGCGGGGAGACAAAGGCGGCCGGGTGGGGGTGTTTTGAGCCCCCCACACCCCGTGTGTGTGTCTGCCGTGCCGAGCTTAATAGGTGCTCGCTGACGGCACTTTTCTATGAGAATGTCTGTTAAGGCCACACTGGGGGTGAATGTGTGTCTCATTGTGTAAACATCGCTCCTAGCGGCGTGGTGGCAGTGCCGACTACTGATGCTGGCCTCTGTTAAGGCTGCTGTGTTATAAGGGCCATTACCCGAAACGTCGCCCACTATATAGCCCCCCCTCCCCCCATTGAAGGTAGCGTTATTGACTTTATTTAGATTCCCTTCTGTGTGTTTAGGGGAAGTCGATTTATTTCAACGTCTTTGTTTGGGGGGTGGGGCAGGGGAGGGATCGCCACGGTTTGGGGGGGGAGGCATTCATCCAGCAGTGGATCGATCATTTCTCATGCATTGATTGGCGATCGGTCGACGGTGGATTTGCCCCATGGATGGACTCGCCCCCTCCATACGACTGTGGAGTTTCCAGGCGGTGAGCGCAGCCTGGACATGGCAATGTCACTCCACTCGAGTTGGTACAGTGTTATATTTATAGGCTACAGTTACACACGCAACATCAAACCTGTCTACCCCTTATCAGTGCCCCGACATTATTACTGACAAACTCAGAGCTTATTGCTCACCCCGTGCCCCTTATACTGCTCCTCCTACAAACAAAGTCTCATCATCACAAGGGAGACACACAAACAAATAAGACTGGTTTTTTGTTGTTGCCTGTGATTGAAACGGCTGTGTGGAACTAAAACTAAAAACTCAGTTTCCCTGTACAAGATTACGTAGTTGAACCGTATGGGTTGACAGGTGTAGTGTAGTAGTGTATAGTAGGGTAGTGTATAGTGTAGTGTATAGTAGTGTAGTGTATAGTAGGGTAGTGTATAGTGTAGTGTATAGTAGGGCAGTGTATAGTGTAGTGTATAGTGTTGTGTATAGGGTAGTGTATAGGGCAGTGTATAGTGTAGTGTATAGTAGTGTAGTGTATAGTAGTGTAGTGTATAGTGTAGTGTATAGCAAACCTGTCAACCCCTTATCAGTGCCCTACCTTATTACAGACCAAGTCAGACCTCATTGGTCACCCCGTGCCCTTATAGATCCCAAAGTTCATCCTACAAAGTCCCATCATCACAAGGGAGAAACACAATTTTTTCGTTTGTTTATTTGGAACCTGAAAACTTAATTTCCCTGTACAAGATTACGGAGTTGAACCGTATGGGTTGACAGGTGTTGGTATATTAGTGTAGTGTATAGTAGGGTAGTGTATAGTGTAGTGTATAGCGTACCTGTCAACCCCTTATCAGTGCCCTACCTTATTACAGATTGGTCTACAAAGTCCCTTCATCACAAGAGAGAAACACAAATTTTTTGGTTTCTTTATTTGGAACCTGAAAACTCAATTTCCGTGTACAAGAAGAACACACGGATTTGCCAGGGCCATGCAGTCGACACTACTGAACTACTGTAGGAGCCTGTGGCTTTATGAAAGCGGTCGTCATCCAGCAGTGGACAGAGCACGGACTCTCTTATCGCCTTGCCGAATGCCAAAGAGGAGGAAGCAACGCGTTTCAAATGGCCACTCGGTGTTTGGGTTTTTTTGTAAACGCTCTGTTCAGGAAGGCCGCCCTGTCCTCCCCCTTCTTGGTTGTTGGTTGCTTGACCATACTTCACCACTCTGGTCAATTGGTGTGGGGGGGGGTCTTGGTGAAGGAGGGTTGGACTGGAGGGGGGGGGGGGTCAGACATCACCGTCGCCACTGATGTTAGCCGCTGGGAATTGAACTGGTGGCCCCATAACAGCGCTAACCACTAGCGCCACTGCTCTGTTATCCATGCCGTATACAACGCATTGCTACGTCTTTGTGTGTTAGCGTGGTAATAATCGTGTCGTTTACACACACACGTAGTCTTACACGGCACAGATGGGTACACGTACGTACTATGTGTATTTATAGTACTGCACAGTATACAACATTACTGCAGCTACAAATATGTGCGCGTGGCATGCGCTTAATATATACCGGCCCAATAGGATGACACAAGTGTGTGTACACTACAATGTACACGTCTGGGGTACAAAGTCGTATACGATACTCGTGGGAGACAAAGATCCCCCGTGTAGCCTCAACAGACTGTAGGGGCAAGTGCTGTTAGCGAGCACCTATGAGGGGTGGGTGGCCAGCAACCACGCCCGGCCGCCTTTGTCTCCCCAGGGGCGATGCTTGCTACACACCGCAGCAGGTACTCATTTGAGGCCGAGTCGACCTAGGGGAGGCCAAGGACCGGTTCAGGTGTTCATCGCTGTTGTAGTTGGCCATGAGCGGGAATCGAACCCGGGTGGCCTGGTTTGTAGCGCTACGCTACCTACTACACTACCCGCTACGCTACCCACTACGCTACCCACTACACTACCCGCTACGCTACCCACTACGCTACCCACTACACTACCTGCTACGCTACCTACTACACTACCTGCTACGCTACCTACTACACTACTGCACCCCACGTGGTATCACAGTGCACGTGGCAGTACATTTACAGCAGAGTTATACGGTACATGCAGTACTTTAGAATCGGTGTGCATATGCTGGTGTGTTTTTTTTTTACGTATGGTTATTAATAGTACTTGCTTATCAGTTGCATGTAAGGCTTCATATTTGGTTGAATATAATTATAAATATACTACAGTGGAGATATCCATCATCGTGACAAAAAGGATGCAAGCTGAGAAAGTTGGACTTATTTCAGTGTTGTCATAGCTCGGGTTTTCTCTATTTACATATTAAACACTGTCACCTGCATTGCAATGCAATTTGCATAAATGTTAGTCTATCATCAGAAAGCAAGCGGCTTACGATGTTGTTTTAGACTGAAGGACGTATTAAAGAAGGCTGCAAAGTTGGGCTCACATGAGTAAAAAATAAGTAACCCTTCTAGATTTGAAGCTTTCGTGACTGCAAGGATTCATACTCTTAGTTCTTTCGGTAAAGTCACGTAGGTAAAAAAAAATGAAATTAAAATTAATAAAAAAAAAATCATTTTTTTTAACCTACGTGACTTTACCGAAAGAACTAAGAGTAGAAGTAACCCTCACATACCTGGCAACCCCTTACCTTATTACAGACAATTCAGACCTTACTGGTCACCCCGTGGTGCCTCTTATAAATCTCAACGTTCATCCGATAAAGTCCCATCACAAGCGAGACACATAAACAAATCGACAAAAACTCTTAGGTTTTTTCGGTAAAGTCACGTAGGTAAAAAAATAAAATTAAAATTAATAAAAGTAATAATAGAAATAAAATAATAAATCACGACGTTTCGGAGGCAACACAAGTCTCCGTCATCAGGTGGGACCGTCACAGCTAGATTTAATGTATCACTTGATACATTTTAATGTATCACTTGATACATTAAATCTAGCTGTATTTTATTTTATTTTTATTAAGTTTAATTTTTTTTACCTACGTGACTTTACCGAAAAAACCTAAGAGTATGAATCCTTGCAGTCACGAAAGCTTCCAATCTAAAATCGACAAAAACATGTTGCCCGTATGGACCTGAAAACTCAACTTCCCTGTACAAGAATGCGTGTAAACCGTATGGGTTGACAGATGTGCGCTCAACAAGTGCACGAAACAAATGGGAACTTGTGAATATATATTGTACTGCAAAACGACACATGGGGGTGGGAGCAAAGTGGTTAGCACACTGCACATCTGAACCTTGTGGCGGTACCCCAGTATAATGTCCGTGATGCAGTAATTTTTAGTCTATTGATGGTCGGCGATGCGGCAATCGACTCATCTCGACGAGCTGTACACGATGCGCACCACCACGGTGCGTTCAGGGTTTCAGCGCAATCATCCTTGCTGCGTTTCGACATCGCGGAGTGTGGCACTGATGTCGGATCGATTGGTGCCCCAGTCGCGGAGTTAAGTACAACCCCTGGACAAAATAGTGTCCAAGAAATAAAATATTGAATTGTCTCGGCCCATGTTGTGTTATTTGGTACCCTGGGGTACCGCCATAAGGATCAATTGATGAACCAATTGATGAACCATTTGATCTAAGTTCGATTCGTGGCCATGGCCAGCATCGCTCGCGACCGCCAACAGACAACTGACACGCTTGTTTATGATTTTACATGTTTAGCAATGCATCAGTTCATTGATTCATCATTGATGACTAAGATATACCACGGTTATGGTGTGAATCGTTACACCCGCAAGTCCTGAGATGTGATTTATTCAAAGTTGTTTATGATTTAAAAAAAATGCCTGATTGGCTTTAGTATAATCCTGTTTAACGAGTGCCATTGACATAATTACACAAGCCGACTGCTGTTGGTGCTGTGCTGCGTGACATCACTCTCGTTTGTTTTCACGTTCTGACCCGCCCCAACAGGACATCTGTGTAAAAGAGCTGAATTAGCTCATCGGATTCCAGCAGTATAATTTTTTTTAATGATATTGATAAAAAAAAACGCGTGAAGGTTAATGCCACGCACTGGGTCGGAGAAAGAGATTGCCCCAAGTGTTATTCATAATCAGCACATACAATTATTCACACACTGCTACTGTTGTTGTCGTCCTGACAGGCTATTCACAATGACTCACATCAGCGTTGTGCCGTTGAGCCCTCCGGAGATAACCGCATGCTCAAAGGTAAGAGGATGATGGGACCTTGGATGGGTTTTTCCTTCAAATGGTGTGTGTGTGGGGAGCGGTGGTATAGCAGTTAGCGCGCTGCGCGACGAACATGGGAGGCCCGGGTTCGATTCCCGCTAGCAATAACAGCAGTGGCGATTATTTGAACTGGTCCTGGGCCTCCCCTAGGTCGACTCGGCTTCAAATGAGTACCTGGTGCGGTGTGGAGTAAACATCGCCACTGGGGAGACAAAGGCGGCCGGGCGTGGTGTTTGCCACCCACCACCTCGTGTGCTGTGCCGGCCTTCATAGGTGCTCGCTAACAGCACTTGCCCCAACAGTCTGTTAGGGCTACACAGGGAATCTGTATCTTTGTTGTAAACGAAGATACAGATTTGCATCACGTACAGTACAAATAAATCAAACTAAATATGACTTTTTTTTTTATATAACAATAAACAAAAGAGGACCGTTTCTGTTTAAACAATGGTACAACTTCCCGACGATTCACCCATCATCAATCCACTCATCTCATTCCCATCTTCGTTTATTCCACGCATCATCACCACCACCTCATTCTCCCCACATGCCATCCACTCATCTCGTTTCATCTCGCCAAACCATCTTGTACCACAGTTCACTCACTGTCCAGCGACTTGTTTAAGGCGCTATATAATGTATGAGAAGATCAGACGAAGTAAACACATAGGGTCTACGTTAGGGCTGAACGATTTGGGGAAAATATCTAATTGCGATTTTTCTGACAGATATTGCGATTACATTTTTAAAAGTCAAGCTTCAGTTGAATATTCACTGTGTAATCGATTTAAAAGATGTGTTATGAATTTATTAATTGCTTCCAATGTGTATTTATTAAAATGTTTTAATTGCAATAGAACAATCAAACATAGAACAATTGTTAAGTTACATAAATAAAGTTATAATAATAATTAAAAATTAACAATTCCAATAAGAAAGTAATAGGACTTTTCAAATCGCAAAAAATCGCAGCCTTTGCGATTTGCTAATGGCATTGTTTCAAATTGCGATTTCGATTTCAAATCGATTAATCGTTCAGCCCTAGTCTACATCATGACCAGTTGGCAATTGTTTAAAAACAAACCAGCTGATTTCAGAGGCCAAGGGTGATGTCATCTCGTTCTCCGTCACGTGGCTGCATCGTTCTATAGCATTAACAACTCATTATGCACTCGATTGGCGGTGTGCTGTTTCTCCACAGAGCAATACTAAACGTGTAAGTCTACTTGCCCATTGGCTTATTATGTTTATTAACCAGCAACATTTGTTCCGCAAGAAACTCTGGGTCGGTTTTAACTTGGGTCATGTTCGCCGAGTTACGTTCACTTAACAATTACTCTCGATTCCCCCAAATGTTATTGGGGAGAGACCACTTTCTAATGATGGGGATGTTGTCCGAAACTACAAATCTGAAACCAAGCAATTTTTTTTAATGTTGCCAGGTGTAAAACGTGCCCCACATGTACACAAACACTCATGTACACAAACACTCATGTACACAAATACACATACTCTTGTATGTGCATTTTCTCTGGGAACTCGTTTCATTTACAATAACATCACTCGTGATATTGGCCTGAAATCCTAAGCAGGATCCCAAAAATGATTCTTTGGACTTTGTTGAGGCTGTCTTGGGGTAAAAAGTTTCTTAATATGGACATCTAAAATAATTGATACTCTGTATATAATTTTATTTAAACTCTCAAATGTTGCGTCGCGTGGTAAAAAAAAATGTACAGCGTGTACTGGCAACGTCTTTTAAGGCTTGCTATAAAAATTTCTACACCGCAGACTGATATACAGTACACACTATTACGCAACCATGGCATGACTGTGTAATTTGTTGACTTGCGTTTCAAATCGTTGTTTTGCCAACGAGGCTGCTTCAAGTCTGTGCAATTTGTCACGAATGGGGATTATTGTTTCGTCCCCCCGTGGTGTACACGTATATTACGGAGCGTGTGCTACATGTGTAGTAAGTATATGGAGGCTTGACGACAGGATCGGAGGCACACTTATTTATTACACCAACACAGTTATTACAGGTCACTTGGCTACAAGGATTTCTCGACAGCTAACCCCTCTAACCTATACCAATTCCTCCACTACGGGACTAGGGGAGGCTATCTGTCCCAGCTTGGTTAAGCTGGGATCCCGGCTCCCTGAGTCACCAGACCAGCTTCGTCTGGGCTCTCGGGGCCACGCCACCGGCTTGCCCTGGTCGGCCCTTATAAGGACAGCGAGCCAGGGGAGCTCTGGGGCCTACACTAGCAGGTCTTCCGTCTTCTCTGGTTAAAGCTGAGTCCCGACCTCGAGCCCTCGAGCTCATCACCTTTTATAGGACTCGCCCCCGAGGGGGGGCCCGTGGGGGATACACATGCGGACGTCGGTGCGAGCGCCACCCTTGTGTACGGCCGTAACCCCGCCCCTTGTGTTTGTTGGCCATCCGTGGCCATGCATAATCACACCTCAACATTCGTAGCCATGCGCAATTACACCTCTACACATGTGACCATTGAGCTCACGCAAGAAGCCCGCTGTCCTTGTTCATTCAAGAGACGTTTCAGTCTCAATCTCATTGTTCCCGTGACTGGCAATAGTAGTGCGTGCGGTGCTGCGGTTAGCGACATGCCGCGCTACGAACCCGGCGACCCAGGTTCGATTCCCGCTCACGGCCAACACCGGTGACGATTATCTAAACTGGTCCTCCCTTAGGTCGACTCGGCCTCAAATGAGTACCTGGTCCGGTGTGTAAACATCGCCACTAGGAAGACAAAGGCGGCCGGGTGTAGTGCTGGCACGTGATGTTGGCGAGCACTGATGCTCTCTCACAGCACTTGCCTCAAGTCTGTTGCGGCTATAAGAGGGATCTTTGTTTTTGGTGCTGGCCATCCACCCCCTCGTGTGTCTTGCCGGCCTTCATAGGTGCGCCAACAGCACTCGCCCCAATCATCTGTGAAGGCTATAAGGATGATCTTTGTCTTGTACAAAGCAGAACTCCGTTCTATGTTTTCACACGTGAATAAAAAGAGATTTTAGTCAACCAGCTGATTGGCTTTCCAGACCAATATAATCAAGTAGCATTTGTTCAAGTATGTAAATTGTGGACCGATTTTGGCCTTGTGGGTCTCATCAGGAGTTAAAGATGCTGCTGGATTATTATATGTTATTTGCAATACCACTCAAAAATAAACTATGGTACCCCATTCAACGCTCATGCACTGCCGTCGTAAATTACGAGCAAAATTGTAGATCACCATAAACTAGTTCCGTGTCTTCTCTGGAGAACAAATGGAGTTCTGCTTCTATTGCTTTTACCCATATTGCTCCACAGCAACACATCGTGAATGTGTGTGTTTTACCACATCACTGACCGGTGCAGAATCAGCACAAATAAAATTATAGCTTATTGCTGGCGCAGCACAGTTATTTTCTCAAGGGTTGTTCTTTTTTGCGAAAAATGAAAGCTCGCTGTTTTTATTTCAACTGCGTGTATATTTCTAGATTTGAAGCTTTCGTGACTGCAAGGATTCGTACTCTTAGGTTTTTTCGGTAAAGTCACGTAGGTGATAATAATAAAATAATAATAAATGAAAATAACTAAATTAAATCACGACGTTTCGGTAGCAACACAAGCCTCCGTCATGAGGTGTAACTGCTCCAGGAGTTACACCTGATGACGGAGGCTTGTGTTGCTTCCGAAACGTCGTGCTTTAATCTAGTTATTTTCATTTATTAGAATATTTTTTTTATTTTTCCCCTACGTGACTTTACCGAAAAAACCTAAGAGTGTGTGTGTATATTTGTTCGCGTTTGTGCGTGCATGCGTGAGTTGCAAGTGAAAACGGTTGGAGACTAAGTTTGGTCGTGCATTTTACCCATTTTCGATTCCGAGACGTCTTCAAGTTGCAGGTTGGGGTCCCGTTCACCGCTGAATCTCGGAACGCTTAGGCAGTTTGCATAAATTTTATTTAGAGAGGCGTATTGCCGCTGTCCTCAATGACATTGTACTGTACTCTGCACACAAAACTGTAGTAACACGACCGCACTCTATGATAACTGGCACCAAACTGAGCCACACGTCCTCCTCCCGCATGGCCATTTACTTCCGATTCCGTTCTGAATCGATTCGATTCCGGTCCGATGACGTTAAACGTTACGTAATTGGAACGGGAACGGTTTACGGGCTGCACAGCATACGAGGGATTTGGTGCGGCCAGAACCGCTACTCCGTAAACAGGTTGTTTGGCCTAGTGCCGTAAGCGAGCACCTATTAAGGCATGCATAGTGCACGATGGGGGGTGGTGTGGCAAGCATCCGCGCCAGGCTCGCCTTTTGCCAAAATGAGTGGTGAAGTTCCACACCTTCGATGATCACGGTTGGCTACGTACGGTGCGAGTGAACCAAGTTCAATATGCATACACCAGGGTACTGATGTAACTCGCTACCGATATTAGCCAAGGGCAGGAATAGAATCCAGGTCACTGGGATTGGTAACGCAATGTTATGAGCGCAGCGCACGGCACCCATGAACACAAAAGACATGAACATCACAACAGGGTATGCTGCTAAACATCGATATTCCCCCGCCTGGCCGGAATGGATTGCTGTGGGAAGCACAGATGGCGAACAGCTGTTGTGGCACACGGCAGAAAAAAAATACACACAAGGACGGAATGGTGGAAGTAGCCGGTTGGCTCCAGGTCAAAGGACTGAGCTGGCACCGCTGAAATTGTGGGTTGGAAGCCAGAAAGCTTCCTCTGATTAAATAGCCGCGTCACCAATGAACGTACACAAAATAATAATGAAATAAATTGTATTTGTCACTTGAACCTTATTGCGGGACCCCGGGGTCCTATAAGCCCCCGGCTCTCGCATAAACTGCGTTGCGACGTCATTTAATGTCTGTTGAAGGCGAACGACATGGCGATCTATTCCTCTCGACGAGCTCTACACGATGCGCTAATCAAAGTTTAAAAGTTGTGTTTCTTCTGCGCATCCGACCTCGCTGCGCTTGGACGACATGACAACAGAATGATCCGCGCCAGGTGGGTCGCGGAGTTTATGTGCGCGGTGGGATGGAGTCGCCAAAAATAAATTAATTAATTACGGTTTTGACTTGCCATAAGGTTCACTTATATAACCCCAGCTCTTGAGAATTAAACACATCTCATTCACTGTCATGGAACAAACAATGACGTTTCGCTTCACGAGCTTGGAGCTTCTATTCCATTCCTGCAGAAGTTTCGCCCCCGGTACGCTAAGCGGAATGTCTCTTATCGTGCTTAGCAACACCCAGTACATCCCCAGAACACATCGGAGCGATGAATTAGACTTAAGTCACAGATTCTCGGCCCGGCTAATTAATAGGTGTTTGCTAACAGCACTTTCCCCACAGTCTGCATGAAGGTTACATGGAGGAGCTGTTGTTCTCTTAGGTTTTTGTGGTAAAGTCACGTAGGAAAAAATAAAATGAAAATTTATAAAAGTAAAATAAAAAATCACGACGTTTCGGAGGCAACACAAGCATCCGTCTTCAGGTGGAATCGTCACAGCACGATTGCTGTTTCAAGTAAAGAGAAATTCCAAGAGACCCGACCTTGTATATATACTGGTTGAGGGGGGGAGGAGCCAGGGTAGGCCCCTGGGTCGGAGTTTTTTTATTATTATGGTAAGGTTGGTACGGCTGAGGCTGCTGTGGCTGAGGCTGCTGCTAGGACTGAGCCTTTTTCTTCTTGGTTCTTTCGGTAAAGTCACGTAGAATGGAAATAATAAAATAATAAAAATTAAACATAATAAAATAATTCTCACGACGTTTCGGCCACAACGCAAGCAGCCGTCCTCAGGTGAAGAACAGGTCTGTCGAGAAGACAGTCTGAATGACACACTCCAGGCTTGGAGCGACTATTTAAGCTGGGATGGAGGGGGGAAGGGCGCCTTGACAAAATAATTTGCATATCAAGAGGAATTTAGCATATTTATGGGAATGCAGATATGCGATTAGTACTACTTGTGAAATGCGTAGGAGGTTTGGCGGGGGGTTTAAAGTCATTATGCCCGTGCATTATGCAGGATTAGCAGCATCAAAGGGAGGGGATAGGGGTAACATTAATAAAGGGAAGGAATGTTAATAGTATGTAGCTGCAGTAATTATGTAGACTGGTTGAGCTGGGAGCTTTTGTCTTTGTGCTCGTATGTACGTTTGCTGCCCCCTGTCCGCCCTGTCCCCCCGCCCCCACCACGTGTTCTTAGCGACTGGCGGTGTTCGTGGCACTGCTGGGCGGCGGGGTCCTCATGCTCTTCGTGGCCGTGTCCCTCCATCTGCCGCTCGTGTGGGATGTGGTGCGCACGGCCAGCCACCTCGACTCGGCCACCAATCCGGGAGTTTGCGACGAACCCTGCAGGTGGAGCTCCAGGCGTTTTTTTTCCCCACACACGAATACCACTTGTTGAAAAAATAAATTGGCCAAACGTACTGATGTAGGGTCCTCGTTGAAACAAAAATGTCTTGAGATTCGATGAGGATATCCCGGTGAATAGCATTACCAATTTTGTTATTATGAATCTGTTTCTCATGCATAGTCAAACAACATAGGCCCTTAAGTACTTAAATGCCATCACAAGTTCATTACAATGACTCGTGCAGGTACAGAATCCGAATCTTTATTTATCCCGGAGAAATCTGATGAGCTATGAAGCTCTTTTGCACAGATATCCAGGAGGGGCGGGTCAGAATTGGTGGAACCATGATGCACCTTCTCCAGCCTTCTACCGTATAACAAGAGGTGGGCACATTTGTTACGGGGCTTGTAATGCTTGTAATGCTTGTATCAGAGAACTCGTCTGACAACCGCTGAGAACGCGAGCTTTAAACTGTACAGCCACCCCTGATTAAACCAAGATTGCAAGTGTAGCCACGAATAAAATGAGGATTCTACTGATAAATACTGTTGAGACTCATTGGGAATTTTATTGATAGATTAATAATTGCAGCACTTTTATCGCTCTGCTGTTGGATGACGGGCTCCTCTATGCCTCTTGGTTCAATGGGGGGGCTGTTTGACCACACTTCCTCAATGCTGGTAAGTGCAGGTTGGTGACGCAGGTCTGCCTGGGGCTGGTTCACATATCACCTCCCACTGGTGGTGTGAGCTGCAGCCACGAATTGACCTCAGGTCGTGGAGTTCAATAAACCACCGCACCGCCGTGCCACCCCATGAACAAAGTGAAATTAGAATTTCGTCTCATTTGTGATTGTCAGCCCAGTCGCCCAATGTTTTTTATCTTAACTTTGCATGTGACATCTCCGACAGCAAGTGTGTAATCAGATGTTTTTGGCCAATTTGGTTTGCGTCGAACCACTCGTTACAGAGCATGAAGGAGGGCTGTCCTTGCTTGAGTGAGAGGGGGGCCTATCGGACCGGCTATCGAAGTAGTTCTTTGGTGTCATCCTCCGGGCTGTCCACTGATCGAATCGTGCTGGCAAGTCTGCTGATAGTGAGAAATCGGGAACAAGATTTCTTCATGTGACGATATGACTGATAAATATGACTGACCTCGTGATAAATAGGGATGTAATGGATGATTTGCCAAATGTCATAATACTTGTCACGTTATCATCAACACACAAGTCTCCCCTTAAAATGATGCTTAGAATATAATTTACATTTTTTACACCCAGAGTTTCCTTAAACTCCAAACGGTGTATATAACAACACACAAGGCACCGTCTACTTATCTGCTCGACATTTGGCTGTCGAGGGACTTCTGGGCAGTTTCGCGAGGAATTTCGGCAATCGGAGAGCGTTGTTGCGATGGGTTCGCACATTGCGCTCTGGACCCAGTGAGCCGAGTTCAAGCCCCAACCACGCGAGTGACCAATGACATCTCAACCGGTCCTGTTCCCCCTTCCTTCGGCAAACACACGCCGAGCGGCGTGGCGAAGTATGGTCAAACGATCGTTGTTTTTTTATTATGACTGGCGATGTACAATAAGGAAGTGAACCCATTGCTTATCGGGGGTATTGTCAGCCCTCGAGGACCACATTCTTTCAGTTCTTTACATTTTTTTTATTTCTCTTCAAACTTTTTAACCCTGTTGTTCACAACAAGCTTCAACTGGTGCAAAATGATGCAAGCGAAGAGCTCATTTTTCACGCGTCAATCACAACACATTCACTCTGGTTCTCGGACACTGCGCTGGATTCCTGTTAAATTCCGTATTGATTTTAAAATCTTCTTATTACTTATGAAGGCCCTTGCAGCACCTTAAGTTTCTGAATGCTGAACTTTTGGTAGTTCCTTAAAGTATTGCCAAATCGGGTGAGGCTGAGGGCCTTTTTAAATCCTTTATATTAAGTTCGCTTGCTTGCTTAGGACCGTGCACATCTTTCGGTCGTTTTTTTAACCCACTTCCCGTGATCCAATCGAGCTGACATTTTCCACACAGACTCGTTGTGCGTAACAATTAATGTTCGAGAAAATTTTTTTCCAAAATTTTACACTTTTTAGGACAAAAATATTATATTTAATTACCAATTGCTTAATGCTGCCATGCAATCATCTGACCCATAGGTGGCAACCATCTCAAGGCAGAGGACGAGAGGACTCTAGCCGCCACGTATATAAAGGATTTATAGTGAAAAACTTTGTTTTTACGGGTTATACTTGTTTAGTTGTTACATTGCCCACCTCTGGAACTCTGACAAAATGCCGATGCATTTTTTTTTATTTGAAATGAAATTGAGAAACATACGAGTTTGTTAATGTTTGAGCTGGATGATATTGGGCAGTGCACCCGATATTATTAGTTGTCAGAAACTAAGCAGGCTTTGAGCTTGGATAGTACATGGATGGGTGACCCACCATCTGCAAGAGACCGGTGTAATAAGTATTATGGGCAACAGAGAGCAGTGCAGCATTGTCCAGTAATTCCTCGTTTAACGCGGTAGATGCGTACCTGAAAAGTGCCTCGTTTAGCGAGGAATTATTGTATAAACATGACAGGGCGCAAACGATAAATGCCAACTTGAATCGCATTTTCACTATTAAATCAGCCTGCAGTCATCCCATGGCAGAACAGAGAAACCGAGCTGAGGGTCAGCCGCCGTGCATCTTTCCCCGCGTGTACCCAGAATTCCCACCGCCCGGCCACGCAGCTCATCGTCGACTGCTCAGAAACCGCGTTATAGCGGCGTGCGTTCCGCGTCACTCGTAAAGCGTTCCCTAATAGAAGAAGCTCGTTAAAGCAAAAACGTTTTGTATGGAGATGCGTTAATCGAGGACTCGCCAAACATTATTCTGCACTCCCACCTTTACCGGGCCACACTGATCAGCGTGGTGAAACACGGTCAGATATAATAATGTTAATTGTGGTTTTACCCTTTTATCTGGCAACAAAACTGACACCTTTTTTTACAAGGAGTCATGTTTGCATAGACCACAAAAAGGTGTCAAAAAAAGGTGTCAGTTTTGTTGCCAGATAAAAGGGTAAAAAAACAATTATCATAATTTTTTTTCTTCTGGCAAATGAGGTTCCAATGGTGTAAATGCTTACCCCGAGCTCTCATACTCTGATGGTGCATTGTCTTCGAGTTGTGCGCCTTTTGGCGTCATCTGGTCCAACACCATGTGAGACTAGGCTCTAAGGAAAGCTGTCTCGGGTGTGGACCAATCAACTTCAAGGACAGTGCATACATTATCAGAGTTATGTTTTTTGTTTGCATTACGACCGCAGGTATTGTGGTCTATGCAAACATGACAGTTTTGTTGCCAGATAAAAGGGTAAAAAAACAATTATATATTATTTTTTCTTCTGGCAAATGAGCTTCCAATGGTACGGTCAGATATAATTCACGGCCCGCAAGGTATGAGGGGGGGGGGAGGCCCTCATCCAGCAGTGGATTGACAAAAGGGCTGTACATGCGCGTAGTGTTGTCACTTACGACGCCGGCTCGGGTTGTAAGGCGCAGGTGAGCAACCGATCATCGCTTGTTTGGACACGGGAGACCTTGCGAGTGAAATGAATCACTGGTGCTTGGCACATCGTCAACACGTGAATGTACAATGCAAGCGCGAAGTCACACCTCGTGTATATGCTCATGTTACTACGGTGGGCTCACTGCAAAAGGGAGTGTTGTTTACTTGTACGTTGTGTCGAGGAATGCTGCTGCAACCTGTTTTCATTGTCCCCTGCTCGGGGAATCATGTGATAGGTGCTTTAGGCTGAGAGATAAGTCGACTGCCATGTTTTGGAGCGATTCCAACACGGTGAACGCGTCTTACCTGGAAGTGTAACGTGATCCCCCGTATCAATACCATGCACGCGATGATCCACACCTCGTGCGATTTTATGAGTCGTCAGTTTTAAGCTGGGGCACCGCGTTTGCCAAGATGTTCACTACGTCGCCTGGTATTCAGGAAGTCGTGGGTTCGATCCCCGACCCCTGTTGTGTATCTGGAGTTTGCGTGTTCTCCCCGTGGTCGCGTGGATTTTTCTCCGGGTCCTCTGATTTTTCTCTCCCACATTTACAAAATGTGCGTTTTGTAGAGTATTTGTCTGCAATATATTTCCACGTGATGAGCCACTTCGTTGAGCTACCATTTGTGGACAGGTCGCTTCCGAAAAAGAGCTGTAGAATTTCGATTTAAAGCTTTCGTGACTGCAGGGATTCATCTTCTTGGTTCTTTCGGTAAAGTCACGTAGATGGGAAATAATAAAAATAAAACATAATAAAATACAATTCTCACAACGCAAGCATCCGTCCTCAGGTGAAGAACAGAGCTGTCGGAAAGACGGCGTCTGAAATCCTTTCTTTCCGACAACCCTGTTATTCACCTAAAGACGGCTGCTTGCGTTGTGGCCGAAACGTCGTGAGAATTGTATTTTATGATGTTTTATTTTTATTACTTTATTATTTCCCTTCTACGTGACTTTACCGAAAGAACCAAGAAGAAGAGCTATAGAGCTCGGGTGGGCCTTACCTGGTAAAATAAAAAATAGTTTAGTTCAGTAAAGCCTGGGCCTGCATGTCCTGCAAGCAGTCGAGTTGCCTCTCTTGCTGTGTGCACAAAGGCAAGCCAGGCGTGGCCGTTACCTCTCCCGATCAGATATTGGACACGTTGTGCTAAGCAGCACTTGTCCCGACTGGTGAAACAACCTGACCACAAAAAGCCCCCTTGTCTCTTTCTCTCTCTTTAATGCTGAGCTGTAGTGTTAAACAAGCTTGACATGCCCTGAGGAAACGAGGCTTGTGAGAGGCAGTACGTTAAATCAGCAATGTGTTTTTCCCCCGATGGGAGCTGTAGAGCGCTGTCTTGTGTAATGCTAAAGGCTTGCTTGAGAATCGCGCTATTGCACAGGTGGTTTTCTGATTATGTTGCCCAGTAAATTGATGCGTTTACAGAATCAAATACATTTTGCTTGGGCGGACAGTTTGCTGGCAAATAAATGTCCGTATTTACGGACCGTTTAGCCTATGCTGTATGGATTTTTCTCTGCAGAACAATACTGTCATATGATTATGAATCAATAGCCAACCAAATGATATTCACTCAGGAAGGTCTTTCTTGAGTCTCCAGAACATATTTTTGAGGTCTCACATTCGGACAATTGGCCACTTCCCGTTAAACAGTGTTTGTGGTAGGAAAGTTACTCGTATGACTGCGTAACAATCTCACAGCATATGACGAAATCTGCTTGTGACACCCTGGCGAGTGATTCCTCCGTACGATGTATCCTACATCTGCAGCTTAGAGACATAATTTTGACTGTTAAACAAGCCAAGTGGGCTTGGGAAGGACATGTCATTAGAATTGGGCCCGAAGGCATCGCTTAATTGATTAATTGAAAGGAAAAAAAACACCGCAACACCGTTCCAAACTGGCAGTCCGGTGCTACGTACACCTTTTTCTCCCGCAAGGACAGCTGCCACTGGGGGTTCCGTTGTTTAGATTACAGCAAGGCATTGGGATGGTTGAGATGTAAGGCGCTTGGAGTTGCCAAGGCGGTTAAGTGAGTCGGCACTCAATTATCACGGTTGGCTACGTACGGTGCGAAAGAAGTTCCACATGCAAACATGACTGCCAGATAAATGCCGAAGCCTTATCCTTAGAGGGGGCGTTGGCCAGTGGTCGAGAATAATGACAGATTGGCAGGCAAAGGAAGGGAGGCGCCCGAATGCGCTTCCACCGCAGATGTGCAGTAATGACGGCAGCTCGAATGCAGGTGCTGGGTAGATTATTACATCGCAAGGCTGTGAGGTGACGTGACGATGACTTGCGGGGGGGGGCCTTCATCTGGTATTGGATTGATTGAGTGATGATGACGATGCTGCCATCCTCCCCAATACTCGAGGCGTGAGTTGACGCGTGTTCCGTGCATGTGTGCTCGTTTTTCCCGCCCGACCCGGCCGCAGCCTGGTGTTGGTGGAGAGCATCCCAGAGGGTTTGACCTTCCCCGAAGGTTCGCCCGTGCACCCGTCCATCTTCCAGAGGTGGAGCGACCTCCTGCACACTTCCTCGCAGACCGTGCAGGTCGCATCCTTCTACTGGACACTGCGCGACTCCGATTTGCAAATCAACGAAAGCTCCGCAGCACAGGTAAGCAGCCGACTGCCTCTCAATTAATTCCTTTAGAACTGCTTTTTTGTGTTTAGTTTGTTGTCCTTGGATAAGCACGGTTGGCTACGTACCGTGCGAAAGATGTTCTGCATACATACATACATACGCACCCACACGGTTGCACAAAAACAAACGCAAGACTCCCTTGCTCAGGGCGCCACGGTGGCGAGATGTTAACTACCTTGCCTGGTATACAGAAGCGTGTGGGTTCGACCCGGACACGTGGATTTTTCTCCTTGTCCTCCGGTTTTTCCCTCCACATTTATAAACATGTGTTTCGAGTATTTCGCTGCTGTAAATTTCCACGTGGTAGCCACTTCGTTGAGCTGCCATTTGTGGCCTGGTCACTTCTGAAAAAGGAGCTAGATCGCTGTGGGCCTTACCCTGGTAAAATAAACAAAAAATGTTAGTTTATGTATGAGTCTACAGTAATATTAGCTGGGCAGTGGTAGGTGCCCGCAATGTCATCCAGCAAATATGGAGGCAGCGAGGGTTGGTGGAACGCACAAATGTTGTGATAAAACTCACTTGTGTGGGCATCGAGGTTTCGTACCCTGGCTCGCTTTTATTAATTTTTATTTAATTTTTTACCTACGTGACTTTACCGGAAAAAACCTAAGAGTATGAATCCTTGCAGTCACGAAAGCTTCAAATCTAGAATCGCCAGAAGAAGGCGGCACAGCAAAACAATGTGCAGTCCACCTGTTCCTTCGGTATGTCATTAGTGTGATGAACATAAATAACTATGTAGCTCACTAGGCCTTACCGTGTAAAATCAAAATAGTTACAATTATCCACTCCCTGATCCAACCAGCCACTTTTCGACTTCTAGACATTAGAGGCGGCGGGTGCCACCATTGAGCATTTATCAAGGCCGCAACCACATAAGGGAATGTTACGGTCAGTAATATCCCCCAGCAGCTGTTTGTCTCCCCAGTGCTCATGGTTCATCAACTGTATGGTTGGTTACCAGTTAAATCGACCAATTTGAGGCCCAGGACAGGTTAATATAAAATGTGTCACTCATGAGCATGGCTATGAATTGAACCGAGGTCACCGCACTGCGCCGCGCAATATCTCCCAAAGCACGGCCAACAACAACAACCGCCGTTCGCCGCCAAGTGGCGGTGACGTCACCACGGCGCTTGTACCAGGCTAGGTGTACCTCGAGGCCATGTGAAGTGTCGAAGGGATCGCTAGCAGGACGTCATGCGACAGAGCCAGCCACCCTACACGTACGCCCACGTAGACGCACATTGCTGCTGATGAACATGTTTTACACCTGTTTACAAGCCATGGATAGAGAAGGGGGGGGGGTGTATGTTTTATCTTGGAGCATTGACAGACGTATGGTCGGACACATCTCAGTAAATTCCGATAGAAGGTTCATGAAAGTATATGATGTACTTGAATTTGTGGGAAGGACCTTCCAATCTTGTCACAAGCGAATGACAACACAAAGCTACAGCAGTTGTTTCGACTTGCCCCATTCTTGGCCGTCGGTTCTCTTTCTTATGCACCAGCTCAGCGTTTCACCGATGTTGACTGAGCCCAAGATTGCTGTGTCGGCATTTAATCAGCTGCCTACAAAGACGCTTTGTGAAAACGATGTCTGACAACAGATTACGCCAAGACTTCCCCCCACTCGTGGTTAACCTCAATTTCACGACGAAAAAGGAAACCCAATGCATTGATGAGGGTTCTTTTTATTCTACTAATTGTACCTTTTTTTGTGCCTTTGCCGGGTAAAGCCCGCTTAGCTACACAGCTCTTTTTCAGAAGTTACCTGGCCACAAATGATAGCTCAACGTGGAAATGTATGGCAGCCAAATACTCTAAAAGCATGTTTATTAATGTGGAGGGAAAAAAACATGAGGACCCGGAGAAAAATCCACGTGACCACGGGGAGAACAATGCAAACTCCACATATATCGACGTCCGGGTCGGGATCGAACCCACGACCTCCTGTATACCAGGCGAGGGGGTTAACATCTCCTAGCCACCGTGGCTCCCCTATTCATCTCTACCTGTCTAGAACTCTCTGGGATTGCCTCCGCAATGTTACGATGGCAACTGAATTACTTTCACGTAGAGTTGATTTTTATAATTCACGGCACTGCTACTGTGATCCTAACAACCTTTTCAACACAGTAAGCTGGAGTTGTCTTAACAGCACATGAAGGTGCAGCCCTGCAATTGCCTGCTCATGGCATTGCTGGTGGAAGCTCTCTAGAGCCACTCGAGGGGGTATATGGCCTACTCTTCCACGTTAGCCAGATATCGACTGTGTTGAAACCATTTAGACGGCTGGGCAGGACTGAGGCATGGGCGGGGGGGAAGGAAATTAAAAAAAACTTGCACCAATGTTTCAACTTGTGTGTATGTTGAAGTTATTTTGCGCCGTACGTAGCCAACCGTGCTAATCTTCGAGTGTGGGGGAAGGACAACAAACTAAACACAAAAATCAGTTCTAAAGAAATTACTTTTAAATCGAGATTTAAAAAAAAATGTTTTTATTGCAACTCAACGCGAGCCCGGGACAATACACTGATCGCAAAACTGGGGAGGGGAACAGAAACACCATGAACAGCAACCCCATTTCAAAGTTTATAATCTAGATTATTAAACAGTGAATAGCTCCAGTGGCTTCCTAATATCGAAAGGAAGAGCGTTCCAGACGGCTGCAGAAGTGCATCAATAAACGCGCGATGTGGTGGGATAACGAAGTAAAACTTCCGACCTCTTTGGTGCCAGTCCAGTTTGCTCACCGTCGCACCACGGCAGCATCCATCACGACATTTAAACACGCAGGTAAATGTCAATTCTGACCCTCATGTTGGAACATGTGTGATTTACCCCACCCCGCCTTGATGGTGCCGGATTGTCGTAGCTGTAGGGCACAGCTCCCCGCTGGCGCGGAATGTCCACGTGTTGAGCCCACACCTCAGATTAGTACGGTTGGCTACGTACGGTGCAAAATTAATTCTACATTCATACGTGCGTACGTGTGTGTGTGTGCGGTGCAGGGCAAGGCGGTGATGGATGCGTTCCTGGCTCTGCCGGCGCGAGGAGTGTCGCTACAGCTGGCAACCGACGGCTCGTCCAACGCGCGCAAGCAGTCCCAGCCTGACCTCGCCGACCTCACCAGCAAGGGTGAGCTTCAGAGCTGGTTCTCCCGTTTCGATGACATACGTGTATGTCGTCAGTTTTTCCTCTGATTCCGTGTACGTTATCGGGACGGAACGGTAAAAAAAACCTAAAATAACTTTATCGGTACCGAGGCTCCCACAAGGCCATGCGGGAGGGCGTGTGGCACAGTTTGGTGTCAGCTATCATAAAGTGCGGTCGTGCCGCTACAGTTCTCTGCGGTATGCGCAATTTATTTTAAAATTGCGGGGCTACGCCTCTCTAAATAAAATTAACGCTCACCGCTTGCACGTTCCGAGATTTAGCGGTGAACTGGGACCACCCACCCTGCAACTTGCAGACGTCTTGGAACGGAAAAGGGGTTAAGTAAACGATCGCTCGATCAATTATATTATTGGTGCAATTCCCTGACTTATATATAACATAACATGAAAATTCGGCCCTCTGCCAGCAAAACTATCCATCTGTGAAACGTAGTGCCTTCTTGAAAGCCTCGTGCTAGAACAACGGAATGAATATCAAATGTGCTAAATTCTTATTTATCAATAGGTGTGGCTTGATTACGTCATTGGCATAATCAACCGCATCACGCTGAGTTTTAATTGTCGGGGTGGCCACCATTAATAAATGGGTCCCAAGAATTGACCGCGGAAAGAGTATTTCATTACACCTCATATGAATATTAACTGGTGGCTAAATTATTGTGCAAACAAGTGCAGTCACCCAGTCATGGTGATAAATTAATCCTATTTTCCCACTCGCAAGCATGCAGATAAACTGGAGTAAAGTCAGCTGATGAATGTGGAAAACAAGATCTGCCAGTAGCTAAACCCACGTCACGAACGAGATGGTTAAACGAGACAAAACAAAATCCATTCTTAAATCCATCGTGACACGGAACGCGTGACAATTTTTCAAACCACTGGGAGGATTTTATCTGCTGTGCTGCCATCTACTGCCAACGTGGTGGCTCTGCGTGTGGGCATTTAACACGATGCATTGCACACACAGTCCACTCACGCCCGTCCGTGTTGGCAGTGGTGCACAACTAATACACTCGTGAACTGACAGACACTGCCTTGAGAGAAAAAAAATATATACGGCGACGTTTTGGGCTATGGCCCTTCTTCATAACACTCTCTCCAAAGTGCTGGATTACACACCAGCGTACTCTCGCATGAGTTAACTTGGTTCATCGACCAATGGCATTTTGTTTATAAATTGTGATCTGCCTAGGACCCATTTATCTTTGAAAAGATTGCATGTGTTGCGTTGATGATACAAATGAATTTCTCCGCTGCGCGCCGATGGGGCTTGTGCCGCGTGTGTCCTCGTGTGTGCTGAGCGGTAGTGTCACGAACCCGGCGATCCGAAGTTTGATTCCCGCTCACTGGCCAACATCAGTGACGGTAATCCGAACCCGGTCCTGGGCCTCCCCTAGGTGGCCTCGGCCTCAAATGAGTACCTGGTGCAGTGTGTAAAAACATCGCCACTAGGGAGACAAAGGCGGCCGGGCGTGGTGCTGGCCACCCAACCCCCTCGTGTGCCGTGTCAGCCTTCATAGGTGCTCATTAACAGCACTTGCCCCGACGAGTCTGTTAAGGCTACACGGGGGATCTTTGTTTGTTCTCGTTTGTGCCGGGGCTCCCACGTGGGCAGGTGCCAACCTGAGCTACGTGGATTTCTCCACGCTGACGGGCGGCGTGCTGCACACCAAGCTGTGGGTGGTGGACGACACGCACGCGTACGTGGGCAGCGCCAACATGGACTGGAGGTCGCTCACACAGGTGCGGGCGCCAGCGTGCTGCTGCGCTTTCTCCTCCTCTTGTTGTTCCTCGTGTCAGCGGCAGCCGCTTGATATAAGCGGTCGTCGTCATCATCGTTGGGCGCCACAGGTGGCGAGATGTTAACTACCTCGCCTGGTGTACAGGAGGTCACGGGTTCGATCCCCACCCTTGACGCCTGTTGTATATTTGGAGATTTAATGTTCTCCCCGTGCTCGCGTGGATTTTTTCTCCGGGTCCTCGGGGTTTTTACCTCCACATTTAGAAGCGACGTGCCTCGGCAGTATTTGGCTGCTATAAATTTCCACGCGATAAGCCACTTCGTTGAGCTGTCCATTTGCGGCCAGGTCGCTTCTGAAAAAGAGCTACAGAGCTCAGTGAGCCTTACCTGGTAAACTTAACAAATTGTTGACACTTTTAGTCAAATGGTTTATCATCGCCTTGGGATACTTGATGCACAAATGGAAAATGAAAAACTCTGGCAGTGCGCGACCGATGGTCACCGCCCAGAACAGACCGTGGAGCATAGATTCGCAAATACGGAGGAGGCATCGTCACCGCGGTTGCGCTCCGCTACTCCTGACGTCATTATCTGGCTCAACCACCTCAATTAGAAATCACACTTGCTGCTCTCCGTCGGCATCAGTCGTCGTCATATGAAGAAGAGGAACCAGATCATCCGTGCCATCGGCCGTAATCTATCTCCTGTCACCAATAGCCCATGGTCCTGTGTGATGCAGCAATCGGTCTCGCTCCTGCATATGATCTAATCTCAAGTGAGCCAATCTCGTATTCATCGTGTTTCTGTTAATTCCCACGTAACGGTTCATGTTGCATAAGTCGATTTTATAATAAGGGGCTTGGATGGTCGGATCCATGAGCAGTGACTCCCATGTCGATGTGGGTAAAAGGAGTTTTACATCGAGATTGGAATCTCTTTTATTAATAACTGTTTTTGTCTTTAGCTCGTCCTTCCCCCGCACCTCCGATTAGCACGTACAGTACAAAAGAAGTTCAACACAAAAGACAAAGATCCCCGTAGCGGCTTACCAGACTGTAGGGGCAAGTGCTGTTAGCGAGCACTTATGAAGGCCGGAGCAGCTCACGAGGGGGTGGGTGGCCAGCAACCGCACATGTCCACCTCTTGTCTCCCTAGTGGTGATGTTTACATACCACACCAGGTAGTGATTTGAGGCTGAATCGACCTAGGGGAGACCCAGGATCCGTTCAGATATAATCATCACTGGTATTGGCCGCGAACCGGAATTGAACTGGGGTCGCCGCTTTCGTAGCACAGCGCGTTAACCGCTCCCCACAAGTTCAACACACGTACGTATGTACATCAGTCAAAATCTCGTCTACAAACTGCCGGGCCCGTGAGCCCGCCACCCCCCCACCCTCCCCCACGTGCCTTTTGTGCGGGTGCCGGCAGGTCAAGGAGCTGGGCGCCGTCGTGTACAACTGCAGCTGCCTGGCGCGCGACGTGCAGAAGATCTTTCTGCAGTACCGCGCCCTGGCCGGTCAGAAAACCATCCCCGCCGTGTGGCCTTCGCAGTTCAGCACATCCTTCAACCGCCACACGCCACTGCACGTCCGCCTCAACGGCACGCCCGCCGAGGTCTACGTCTCGGTGAGCTCCCGGCGGCGCTCGTGCCGCGGCCGTCGTGACGCGATCGCCGAATTTCGGTGGCATTTAGAATCGACATGCGTTCGGCGTTTGGCCGCTTTGAATTGCCACTTGACGATAAGCCACTTCGTTGAGCTGACATTTGTGATGGCCAGGCCGCTTCTGATAAAGAGCTAAATAGCTCGGTGGGCCTTCCCTTGTATAATAAAAGAGTTTGTCACCCAGGTGCAGGGGCAACGCAAGAGAGATGCAAAATATTTATACATGGAGGAATCCGATGAGCTATGAAGCTCTTTTTCACAGATGTTCAGTAGGGGCGGGTCAGAACATTACTGTCTTCTGCGAGATATGCACATGCCTCTGTTGTGTGCAGTAATGTTTTACTGGTAGGAACCTCTGGTTGCACCAGCCCACAGGGGATTATTGTGTCCGTCGTGCAGGGAGGGGCTGGGTGGGGAGGGAGGGGCTGGGTGGGGAGGGAAGTGCTATGTGGGGAGAGAGGGGCTAGGTGGGGAGAGGAGGGGCTGGGTAGGGAGGGTGGGGCTGGGTGGGGCTGGGTGGGGCTGGGTGGGGCTGGGTGGGGAGGGGCTGGTCACCCCGCGGTGCCCTTATAAAACTCAACGTTTAACCTACTCACGCCGGCTTGTGCCCGCCCTCACAGCCGGGCATATTTGCGGAATACACCACGCCGCCGTTGACCCTGGCCATTGACCGAGCAACCCAACGTGTTCCTACCAGCTCCTTCCGCAGGAATGTGTTTTAATGGGTAAACCATTGACCCCGACGGTGCATGCGTGTGTGTACACAGAGCTCCCCAATGTCACTGTGTGCTACGGGCCGCACCGATGACTTGGTGGCCATTGTGAACCAGATAAACCACGCCAGCAAGTTTGTGTACGTCGCCGTCATGGACTACTTCCCCACGTCGCGCTATGAGAAACACCGCAGGTAAGCGTGCCACCCAATAAGCCTGCAACCAAAACCGCTCAGAATGCACCCAATCTCGTCAGATCTCAGAAGCTAAGCGGGCTAACAGCCTGCATAGCACTTGTATTGGCAACCTCCATGCAGAGTTATACGGTGGCGAGATGTTAACTACCTCGCCTGGTATATAGGAGGTCGTGGGTTCGATCTCGACCCTGACACCTGCATATTTGGAGTTTGCGTGTTCTCCCCGTGGTCACGTGGATATTTCTCCGCGTCCTTCGGTTTTTTCCCTCCAGATTTAGAATCGACATCACGCGTTTAGATTATTTGGCTGCTATAAATGTCCACGTGAATAAGCCACTTCGTTGAGCTACGATTTGTGGCCAGGTCGCTTCTGAAAAAAAAGAGCTACTGTAGCTCAGTGGGCCTTACCTGGTAAAATACAAAAGAGTTTAGTTTGTAGCGCAACGTGCAGTGCTTTATCTGCTACGCAGCGTTCTAACCGCTACGTTTCTGTCGTCGCCCCGGCAAGGTTCTGGCCGAAGATTGACGACGCGCTGCGCAAGGCGGCGTTTGAGCACAGCGTGCAGGTGCGCGTGATGGCGAGCTGCTGGAATCACACGGACCTCGCCATGTTCTCCTTCCTGCAGTCGCTGAGCGCGTTCAGCGGCGCCCTGAAACACGGCAAGATCGAGACGGTGAGGGGCTTGGCGTCGCGGGGAGCGACGGCAAACGGACGCTCGCACGCACGCGCGCGGTGGTTGCTCCTGCTGCTGTTAACAAAGCACATGAGCCACAGCCGCTAGAGGCATTGTGAATGCCACATTCACTCTTTTTGAGCTTTCTTTTACAATATACTTTTGTCGTTGTCCATCAACCTTATGCCGATCGCGTCAAGAGATGAAGTATCCGTTTCCATCTCTCGGCAAGCACGGGGGTGTTTGGGAACGGCACACAGAAGCAGCTATCATTGAGCTACCGCCGAAATTGTTCGAGTAATGTTTGTCGCATGATTGTACAACCCTTATTTAAATTCTCACAGATGGAATGTAGCCAAGGACCACAATTATGGGTTAGTTGTTTGTTTTATTGGTAACTCGCTGCACTTGAGAATCCGGAATAATCAGAGGCGGTTGCCTGGATCGGACCCAGATTTCAGCTGTGCCATCTTGGTGTGACTATCATTGATTTACGAGGCGGGAAAGTAATTAATTGCCCAGTAGACGCACACCAAGCCTATTATGTCCTGGGCTGTCCATCATAAGCTCGAAGCTGTGGCGATGCATACGCACGTATAGGCTTACAGTAAAATCCGGTAGATGAGGCATGTAACGAACCCACCTCTCTGCAGTGATTTGATGGAATTGCTATGTAATAGGGTTGGACTAACAAATTGATTCATTGTTTCATCTTTTATAGTATCGTTGGTATTGAAATAAATTTTCCTCTCTTGTAGTCCTGTTTTTTCCTTTACGTATAATTTGCATAATTATCAGCAGGGTTGTATATGTCCACGTTATTGTTGCTTTGGAAAGGTTTAGGATATCTTCACTCCCTTGCCTGGTATTGCAGGAGGTCGTGGGTTTAATCCCGACCCTGAACCCTGTATATTTGGAGTTTGCATGTTCGCCCTCTGGTCTCATGGATTTTTCTCTGGTTTCTCTAGTTTTTCCCCTCCACATTTATAAACACGCGTTTAGAATATTTGGCACGGGTAAATTTTCACACAATAACCCACTTTGTTGAGCTATCATTTGTGGCCAGGTCACTTCTGAAAAAGGAGCAATATCGCTGTGGGCCTTACCTGGTAAAAATAAAAAGTAAAATAGTTTGTATGAGACAACACTAATATTAGCTGGGCAGTGGTAGTGCCCGCAATGTCGTGCAGCAAATATGGAGGCCGCGAGGGTTGGTGGAACGCACAAATGTTGGGAAAAACCCACTTCTTGGTTCTTTTGGTAAAGTCACGTAGAAGGGAAATAATAAAATAATAAAAATAAAACATCATAAAATAATTCTCACGACGTTTCGGCCACAACGCAAGCAGCCGTCCTCAGGTGAAGAACAGGTCTGTCGGGAAGACAGCGTCTGATAATAAAAGAATAAAAATAAAACGTAATAAAATATTCTATTATTATTTTATTATATGTTTTATTTTTATTATTTTATTATTTCCCTTCTACGTGACTTTACCAAAAGAACCAAGAAGATGAATCCCTGCAGTCACGAAAGCTTTAAATCGAAATATAAACCCACTTCTGTGGGCGTCGAGGTTTCGTACCCTGGCTCGCCAGAAGAAGGTGGTACAGCAATAAAATGTGCAGGCAACCTGTTCCTTCGATATGTTAGAGTGTTTCCCCCTCACAGAAGTAGACGTGGGTTTTCTCCCAGGTGCACGAGTTTTTCTGCTGCATGTTAACACTCACTAATTGGTCTATAACACATTGATATCGAGAGGACCGCAGAGCTTGGGAAAAACATTAGTGGCGGCTCATCACCTTTCCACTTATCTGTGGTTCTTCCTCGTGCCTCCCGAGCCATTCTCTACGGGAGCGAGCGAACAATGCGCGCGTTACAAGTTGAAGTTATTCTTTTTATTCGTGTGGCCAAAAATGTAGGATCATTGCCATTTGGTTTTGTGCGTGTGTGCATTTGTATGGGGCAGAAATTTTTCATCGTGCCTTCGACGGAGGCTCAGAAGAAGATCCCATACGCCCGTGTGAATCACAACAAGTACATGGTGACGGACAAGATCGCCTACATCGGTACGGACAGCGCCACCACATGCCTCACGTGTGGAATTCTTACTCTCGTCATGCATCATTTAAATCGGGTGGTGGCCAGTGGGTGGCGGTGCAGCAAAGTCCACTGTTGTACTGTATCTTCTTGGTTCTTTCGGTAAAGTCACGTAGAAAGGAAATAATAAAATAATCAAAATAAAACATAATAAAATAATTCTCACGACGTTTCGGCCACAACGCAAGCAGCAGTCTTCAGGTGAAGAACAGGTCTGTCGGAAAGACAGCATCTAGGGACGGCTGCTTGCGTTGTGGCCGAAACGTCATGAGAATTGTATTGTATTATGTGTTATTTGTATTATTTTATTATTTCCCTTCTACGTGACTTTACTGAAAGAACCAAGAAGATGACTCCCTGCAGTAACGAAAGCTTTACAGTGAAATGTTGTACTGTACTTCAGTGCTGCCACGGTCCTATGCTTTCAACCATCACTAGCATGGTCATGCACGGTCAAATAACTCCCACTGCTTCTCCACATGGCTGCGCATGGAGGCCTTCATCCAGCAGTCGATTGACAAAAGGGCTGTGTATGTGCACGTCATTTATATACGCTCACGTGTCAGTTATAGATGTGGTGCTCGGTAGACGGTTGCCAGGGTGTTGTGCATCTCATGGGTGTACTGGACACTCAGGTGACTTGGGTAGACGGTTGCTTCCGTGTACCACCTTACCCTGGTGTGGGTACCAATGGCCTCTGTGAGGCTCTTGTCAGGAAATGCCCTACGCCAGGTGCTTACACTGCAATCGGAATTCCTTCGGCTGTAATTTCTTGAAGCCCAGGTGCAGGCGCTGCACTAGCTGTAGGATCTAGCAGGGATGAAGGAACTGACGAGGTGGTGGCATCAATAGCGTTGTCTCTTGATGCTGTATTGGTCTCATCCAGGGGCGGTGACCTACGGTTCCTGAAGGACTGCTTCACGACGTTATTTATGAAGGACCACTGCCTTGTATCCACATGCATTGTGAAATATGTTTTTCTTTACCAAATTCGAACAAAAATAACTCGTTACTTTGGTTGCTGACCCCTTGGTCTTATCCTATCGACGCAGCAGCAGCGCCGCTGTGATGTGGCACGAAGGAGACATCACAGAGCTACACCCCGCTGCTCCTGACGCGGTTCTATCTGGCTTGACCGCCTGAATGTGAAATTGTTGTTGTTGTTGTTGCTCTGCATCGACATCAGCTGTACGAAAGACACCAGAGGGCAGTGTAGCGGTACCCATTGTACTGCGGTTGTATTATCAAACCTCCCACGCCCATGCTCCCCCATCTTCAAGCCAGCGTGGTGACGTATGGCCAAATTACCCCCACGAAACCACATGGTGTGGGGGAGGCCGTCACACATGCATACACGCGTGTACCAGCACACATTTGTGGGGAGTGATAGTGCAGTGGTTAGCACGCTGCGCGATGAACCCAATCGCCCGAGTTCGATTCCTGGTCATGGCCAACACCAATGACGATTATGTAAACCAGTCCTGGGCCTCTCCTAGGTCGACTCAGCCTCAAATGAGTACCTGGTGTGGTGTGTAAACATCGCCACTGGGGAGACAAAGGCGGTCATGCGTGGTGCTGGACACCCACCCCCTCGTGTGCCGTGTCAGCCTTCATAGGTGCTACTCGCTAATATCACTTTCCCTGAGAGTCTGTGAAAGCTATACGGGGGATATTTTTATGTAAACGAGTGTTGCGGGAGCAGTGACGCATTGCTCTAAGAACCTGGGGACTTGTTGGATTCCTGCTCAACCGAGTGTCGAATATTTAAACCAGTCCTGGGCCTCCCCTAGGTCGCCTTGGCCTTAATTGAGTACCTGGTGCAGTGTATAAGCACTAGCTAGCACTGGGGGAGACAGTCCGCCGGACGTGGTGTGTACCAACTATCCCCCTCGTGCAGCGCTGGCCTCCGCAGCTAACAGCACTTGCCCCAGTAGTCTGTTCAGTGCTATACGTGGGATCCTTGTACATGCGTGTGGATGTTGAATGTAAGGGGGGTAATCCTAAATTGCCTTTGGTGCGCGCCATCGCCGCAGGAACCTCCAACTGGTCGGAGGACTACTTCAGCGACACGGCGGGCGTTGGGCTGCTCGTGAACCAAACGGCGAGCGTGGGACGCGGCGTCACCGTGCAGGAGCAGCTGCGGGACGTGTTCCTGCGCGACTGGAATTCCCCGTACGCCATCAGCCCAACTTCGCTCGCCGATCTCCAGGCCAAGTGCGGAGTCTGGTGACCGACGCTTCTCCGCCCGCGCCACCGCACACCACTCCCCCCCCCCCCCCTTTATTTCCTCTCCGCCAACTGGAGACTTGCCGAGCGTGGTCCAGCGTGGTCAATGGCAGGCGAGGGTGTCGATGAGTGGCTTTATTGGTGCGACGCTAAACTCCGTGGTGGGGGGTGGGGAGGCCTTCATCCAACAGTGGAGTTATCATGGCTGATGATAATGGCCTGGTATGGCGACATTTTTAAGCCAGCTGTGTTGGAGGTGAATGGTTATGAGCGCACAAGTTAACTTCCTATTTGTTACCCTGGAAATAAGTTGGCATGAATACAGAAAAGTAACTGCGGTGTGGGTTATTGAGTCTGTATATAACTTAGCGTCCAACCCTGTTTAAATCGCTCTGGTATCATTAACATGAAAGACTGTGCTACTTTGATCTCGTATCGCATGCGAAACATAAGTGATGTAATTAAAACGTCCTACACATTTCACATCCTAAAAAACCCAACTTTTTCTTGATTTTTTTAACTAAGAGGTACTCGATTTATTTTATGAATGATTCAATGTGGAGTTGTGTAGTATCCCTTACAACTCAATTGCACAAATCCATATACTGTATGTAAAATCTCAATCGATGTCGTCGTTAATTGTTAAGGGAATTGTCATTTTGAGTATTTGCACTCGTGAAGCTTTAACATTGAAGGGAAATTAAGTAAAGATGTCTGCGCACACACACACTTGGGTTTACATTTCAGTTGTCAAATTGTTTCTTTGTGTATGGCTTTTATACAGGGTGATCCATTTACTGGTAGGAACGAAGTGAACCAGCCTACAATAGATTATATCGTCTGTCCGTCCGATGTCCGATTAGGTGTAGCAACATCGCCCCCTACTGCAAACACTTGGCAGGACCCTACAAAAACCTTTAGACTCAGTGACGCTTTCCTGGCTAAACAAGTGTAACATTCCCTTGTAATTCCCTGAGATAGTTTTTTAATTCCCTGAGATAGTTTTTAATTAAAACATTTAAATAAAAAAATAACTCATTCCCTGACATAGTTTTTAATTAAAACATTTAAATAAAAAATTAACTCACAGCGGCCTAAACCCTACAGCTAGGCCTAAAGCCTAGAACTAGGCCTCAAACTCTCCCTTCGTATCGTACCCCCGCGTGTGTGAAAGGGAGTTAATGTTTAACAATGTTACATTCCCTGATGTTTTTAAATAGAAACATTTACATTTAAAGCTTTTACATTAATAATTAAAACATTTAAATTACTAATTAACTCACAGCGGCCTAAAGCCTACAGCTAGGCCTAAAGCCTAGAACTAGGCCTCAAAATCTACCTTCGTTTCGTCCGATTAGGTGTAGCAACATCGCCCCCTACTGCAAACACTTGGCAGGACCCTACAAAAACCTTTACACTCAGTGAGGCTTTCCTGGCTAAACAAGTGTAATAATACATTATGTTTATATTCTTTGGTTATTCGTTCCTACCAGCCCACCCCACAGGGACCTGTTATAGTTGGCCCACTGATGTCTAATACTCATTCATTTTTCAGAAGGTGATTGGATGTTGTGAAAGCAATGAAGATGTTCTGGTGTAGAAGGGAAATAATAAAGTAATATAAATATAAAACAATAAAAATTATCACGACGTTTCGACTGCAACACAAGCAATCATCAGGTGTGAAATCCACAGCAAGAAAATTTGAAAAAAAGTGGCGGTTTGTCCTAACGTTATCACCACAGACAGCGATTTGGCAGTTGGCCAGATGGACGAGTTCATCTATGTTCGGACAAGAGGAGGGGGGAGCAGAAAGTGGAATGTGGTCCGAATATAGATGGACTCGTCCATCTGGCCAACTGCCAAATCGCTGTCTGTGGTGCTGACGTTAGGACAAACCGCCACTTTTTTTCAAATTTTCTTGCTGTGGATTTCACACCTGATGATGATTGCTTGTGTTGCAGTCAAAACATCGTGAGAATTTGTTGTTGTTTTATATTTGTATTTATTATTTCCCTTCTACGTGACTTTACCGAAAGAACCAAGAATATGAATCCCTGCAGTCACGAAAGCTTTAAATCAAAAAATGTTCTGGTGTATTGAGATTGGTTTGAGAGACTGAGGATTACAATAGATTGTTGCGATGTGAAGTCTTCTCCATCTCCCTCATTACTTTTGGTGTATCTACATATGGATCACCATATTTCGATTTCAATACACTGGGTTCTACTTCTTGATGGAAATACAGCAGACATTGGCTTTGTTGACATTTACTGTAGATGCAAAACACAAGTGTTGGATCGGATGTTGTGGACCGAGTTTCATATCAGAGCGTAATAGCATGCACACCACACCTCAATGGCACAATCAGAACAGAAAGTAATTGCATGATGGTGTCACAGTTGTGGTCATGTCTAACGGTTATGACAAGGTGGGCATGTGGGCAGAGGCATAAACCCAAATGAACATTGCCCTCTGCATGGTTCTACACATTTTACATTGTGGTGTTTTTGTAATATAACTCAAAACAAAAAAGCGCACATTACCGTGGTATTTTAAAGTGAAAGGCTGCTGTAGATTTGTGCGTGCAATTTCGTTGCGAACTGGTCAATTGCAATTCGTGTTGGTCATTTACGAAGGTGTGTTCATTGCTTAGATGACTGCTTTTTTGGCTATCTAATCGCACGGTACTAAGGGACAAAATAAGCATGCTGTTCTTGGTCTAAACTGCTGGTTTAGCTTGATCCTCATTGCTTAGGATATTCATAACCATTAGCAGTTGCGGAGAGAGACTTGTGTTTGAAACGAGCAAAGCCGTCATTGAATGACGAGAATAACGCAGCCTTGACTCGTAACGCAGCAGTCACGAAGTACGGGTGTTTATGAAGCATGAGATCGTCGACTAATCTATTAAGCTCACGACACAAGCATCCAATTGTGTGCGTGCAAAAAAAACATTTTCTTTTGTGCGTGGTAGTTCATGTGACCTGCACAACCACTCGATGCCACTAAATTGCACCGCGCTTTGAACCAGGTAAGGCCCACTGAGTTATACAGCTTTTTTTTTACAAGCGACCTGGCCATGAATGAGAGCTCGACAAGAAAGTGGCTTGCGTGGAAATGTATCGCAGCTAAAAATACAAACCGCATGTTTCTAAATGTGTGGAGAAAAAACCCGAGGGCCTGGAGATAAATCCACATGACTTTGGGGGAGAACATGCAAATTCCAAATCTACAACAGGCGTCAGGGTTGAGAAAAGGAAATGATTAATACAATTTTGACTTGATCGAATCACAAGCAGGACAAATCGCTAACAGGCGAGCCGGATCAAGATTTCCAATCATCAGCTTTCAAATGCATAGTGCTGAATAGTTGCCACGAAAAAAACAATTTTAAACTGTACAAGACAGTACCAATGCTTGCAGGAGGAATTTTGTTTTTACTCGCATTTTCGAAGTTTTATGTCAGACTTCAAGTCATGAAAGTTGTACGTTCATGCATGTTGTAAATAATGTTTCGATATGAAATAAACCGTTCAAGTTGCTGTTGTCGAGGCTTGTGTATTGATGTATTGGAAATGCTGTGCCCGTCTCCGAGGCAAAACTTTTACACAAATTTACCGTTCAATTTGTTCATACTTCTTGGTTCTTTCGGTAAAGTCACGTAGAATGGAAATAATGATAAAAATAAAACAATAAAATAATAGAATATGTTTTATGTTTTATTTTTCCATTCTCCGTGACTTTACCGAAAGAACCAAGAAGATGAATCCCTGCAGTCACAAAGCTTTAAATCGAAATTTGTTCATACTTGTTACATTGCCCCAAATTTCCACTGAAGTGAGCTTATCGTTTACAGCACGGAGGTGCTTGACAAAGGATGCATGCACGTTGGCTAGTGGCAAAAAGGTAATTTTCTCTGTTGAAAACGTTAATGTTGCCCCTAAATGTGATGCCAACAGGATACAAGGCAACCTTCCCCCCTTCCAACCCAGCTTAAATATACACTCCAAGCGTGGTGGTGTTTCATTCAGACGCTGTCCCCCCGACAGACCTGGTCTTCACCTGAGGACGGCTGCTTGCGTTGTGGCCGAAACGTCGTGAATTATTTTATTGTTTTATTTTAATTTTATTACTTCCCTTATACATGACTTACCGAAAGAACCAAGAAGATACACCACCAAACAGTAATTGCTGTGTAGTGCAAGGATGACAGAAAAGTGGGAACACTTTATTAACGAAACCAGTTTCTTTTCCTACAACTTTTATCTCAATTGAGAATTTAATTTTGATCTCTCACAGGGCGGCACAAACCTTCGTGTTGGAGAATGGTCCATGGAAACGGATACAATAAGAGCTACCTGAAATCTCTTCAAGTCACTTGTGACCTACAGAGTAGGGGGCAGAAATTTTCCACTCTGCTACTATAATAAGCTTAGTCATTGCTTGCTACCAGGCAGTGACTTATGATAATTGGCAGACCAAAAATCTATTTAAGAATTAATCTTGGTCCACAGAGGATGGCTTGGCCAAATCTCACCTTGATTGATGCCTGTGATCAGCATGTACAAATGTGCTGGCAGAGGCCCAAGCAGCCATACTACAACTATCAATCACCCTGTACAGATGTCACCAGAGTACAGGAGGTGGAAACCACTGGTGGGGGAATGAGTCCTGAAAGAATGGACATAGTTAACATGTCTGGCTTGGCTTCGGCCATCTTGCCCCTGCATTCTCCCCTCCCCCCCCATACAAAATGAAAACGACAAAGCGGCTCTACTTGGACCTCTCCAGGTAATAGGGGGTGCCGCAATGGCGGATGTATACATGTTAAAAATAATTGTGAAGGACAAAAATTGCATGTAAAATAACACCATGATAAACCAGAAAGCGTAGGCAAAGACAGCTTGAACATTTCAAAAGATTTTTTTTTATTTAAAAACCATGGGATATTGTTGCATAGTTACAGGAGCAGGAAAAATGTCTAAAGTCTGCCTTAAAGATGAAGTGTAATTTAATTTTGAAGTCAGTCACTATTGGCACATCACACAAAATACTTGGCACAAACACATCCAGAGCATTCAGTTATAAATGATTATTATTTAACTTCATATCAAAATATCTCAGACTGCAAGGATCCAGGCCTCCAAGAAAAACGAGGCAATTTTATCTTTTGATTCGTAAAAAAGCACAACATATAAAAACATTTAAAACAGAATTCATGATGTACATGATTCCCCCATTGTACAGAGCATTATTCTCTATAAAATAGACTGCATGGATACACGTGTGCAAACACAAACCTCGCCACAAAAATCAAATTTCGCAAGGCAGAGTACAATTAGATGCTCATGTACGATATTTAGAAACAATATTGTATTCTGAATTAAAGATAACCCACGTGTGCCAACATTTAAAACTATTACAGCATACAGATATCCTTGGCCATACAGTTTCAGACAAATGCCACCTTAAATTTCGATTTAAAGCTTTCGTGACTGCAGGGATTCATCTTCTTGGTTCTTTCGGTAAAGTCACGTAGAAGGGAAATAATAAATAATAAAACAATTTAATTCTCACCACGTTTCGATTGCAACACAAACAATCATCATCAGGTGTGGTTTTCACACCTGATGATGATTGCTTGTGTTGTTTTATTGGTGTTGTTTTATTCATATTATTTTCATTTTACGTGACTTTACCGAAAGAACCAATATAAATGCCACCTTGTTCGCTCAAGAAATGAAAGGTTTTGTAGGTGAAACATTGATAATTACACCTGCCCCCTTGCAGATCTCTCCTTCTTGCTGCACTACAAGCCATTGTCAATGCCAAACCGACTAAAAACTGACAACATATGAACAATTTGTACATTTGAAATGATGGGACTTAAAACGAGTACACAAATAACATGCCACAATGTCAGAAGACAGTCGAAAATCCACCCAGGAGTAATGTAACCCATCGTTTCCAATGCAAAACAAATAAACAAAAAATAAATAGCGCAACTTAATTTTTCAAGTGAATAGTTGCTTTCAAACCATTTTATTTACAGGCTTACCCTCGACAAAATCTCTTGCAAACCACACAGGTGATTCTTGGTTAAGACACGTCAACGCCTCGCCAACGCAGAGAGACGCGCGCGCGCCGTTGACAGTCGCACATCAGAGGGGGCAGTAGAATGACTGCGGCGCGTTTCCCCGCGCCATGTCGTGCCGTACCTCCCAGCGCAGCGCCGAACGCTTCTTCTCCGTCGGTACCACGTACGTGTTTGGGGCGAAGACACGCTGGGGTCTCTGCGTGTCGACGGGCAGGGTGAAAGAAATCGGTGTTGAGAAAAGTGCGGGGATCATCACAGATGACGGCACCAAACTGTAACTTGCATGACATTTGTTCCTGTATTCAAGTTCATCGGTTGAATTGCCAATTTAAGCATCGTATTGTGATACATCATTAGTCCTCGTGTTGCTGCATGAACACGTTGCCATCAATGAAATGCATCACTTCCCACGTCATAGCTCCTACACAATAAGCTCCCGGCTGCTATTGTCGTCACGAGTTTTGCGATTCAGTTTATATAGCAGTGTAATGATGTATCACTTCTTGGTTTGAACAAGTTGGCGTGTAACATTGCCAAACACAAATTTACTTAAATAATTGTTTTTAACAATGGCCTGAATACGCCTCGACTACGAAAACAGCACTTCCTATCCAAATGCAGTAATTTAAAATACAAAATTCACAACATTATAGATTTCACTTTAAAAACGGAAATACTTACAGGAAGCGGTTCTTCTTTGTAAAGCATATGTTCCTGAAACGTGACAAGATATTACAATCATGATTTTAAGACCTTTTTAATGAACACCGCCGATAATGAAGAATAAAACAACGTATCCGTCCAAGGAGTTGCGTCAAGCCACCTACCCGGATGTTCCAACGGAGATTCTTTCGGTTACATTCACCAGGCGGTTTAAAATTCTCCCATTCTTGCTTGTACTGTAAATATCTGCAAAAAGATTTTACATTCAATGCGCTTCTATTTTTGCAAGAGCGGTGATGGAATTTTTTGTTATACAAGTTAACAATACTAAAAGAAAAGAGAAACATTGCCAATCATCTATCTTCACACCTTTCCAGATAGCCCTGCAGATGCATTCATGTGACCCAGACTACAATGTCACTAATGTCTATCCATGCTATTGAAGGGCTAAAAATTGTGATTGACAGACACATTACAAAATAGCACATACGTTACTTTAACGTCAGAATTATTGCTTACTTTGCAACGGGGTCGGTCTTTTTCAAGTTTCTTGTGTGGGGATGATTCATCTGGGGTCTGATGACTAGAAAGAAAACAACTTGTCACACACACAGCATTCATTGCAAATACACAGCCGTGTAAAGTGTAAAAACCACTTTGTATTAAACACAACACATCCAACCAAGGTGGTGCGCAATGATTACAGCACATGGCTAGCAAAGTTCAAATCCCAGTTTGGGCTCAACTGGGCCCTGCGTCTCTTCGGGGTTGACAACATTCTTACAATACACGGTGAATAAACGCATGGTTCAGGATATAAGCCCCGCTCGACGTTACATAAAATGGGTAAAACATTTTTTTGTTAACATAAATAGCTAAATGAACCCACAACAATGTACACACACACACACAAATCTACAGTATACATGCATGTATATGTGCTGTAAAGTTTATTTGAAAGCTCAAATCAACACTAAAGAGTCACAGGGACTATTTTAACACGTGTCAATTAACTATTATTCACAATTTTAATTTTACAAGGGAAGGCCCACTAAACCATATAGCTCTTTTTCTGAAGCGACCTGGCCACAAATGATAATACTGGTCAACACACTTTTTCTTTTCTGGCATAACGTATTTCAACGATCTTAAGGTAATTTTGGGGTGCTGATTCCAAATCTGGCATCAGTTTTTGTCTATCACATCAGGTTTTTGAGATATCAAATATTGCATTTTCAATAAAAACTGCAGAAGAAAAATATTTAATAAATGTGGATATCTACATAAAATGATATTATAAAACACACTATCCTAAAAATACAGCACCATATTTTAACACTAAAGCAGTCACTGACTCGCAACAACTTGCAATCATAAGTGACAGAGTTAATTTCGGGTAAAATCAATGAAAATGGGGTATGCCGATAGCACAAAAATGAGATGTGATAGAGCAAATCTGAGATCAGATTTGGAATCAGCACCCTGAAATTAGTCTAAAACAGCTGCAAAAGTCCAGGCCAGAATTTTTTTTTTTTGACCAGTGTAACTCAACTAAGTGGCATATGTGGAAAAATACAGCATTCAAATACTCTTAAACGCTGGCATAAGAATTCCAGCCACTTACAGGAGGGTGGATGATCTTGGACTGAAGCTCTATCCTCACTCGCCGATCTCCAAGTCCACTGGGAAGGACAACACAGGAGTCAAAGATGTCAAAACGCAAAACAACATATTTTCTGCACACAGGAAGATGCAAAATAAAACCAAAACCCACCTGGCAGTTACTCTAATCTAGGCTGCATCTCCCAGGCGGTCCTACGAGTTTAAGCTCCGTTAATAGGTACATTGACATAAATCATGATCGGTCACACCACAAGAGCACACTGGTGATGACATTACATCGATCTATTAAAATGTGTAGGTGAGATCGGTTGGATGCCAAAGAAAAACATAACGTGTTTCTCATGAACAGAACTTTACACTCATGCTGGACAGCCTGTGGTACGTGTATAAAAGTATTGTATTTTAGCTTGATTTCGCTTCGAGAGGCAACACTCATGATGCTAATGAAGTAGCCTCATGGTGGAAGCTGGAATATTCGGTCACTTAGTTTAAACCGGTGACAATCATGATTGTGTTCTCCATATTTTTGGCGAGCCATCGAACAGAGATGGTCACTGGATCACGCGCTTTCAGATGCACTTCTGCGGCTATCAGGAATGCTCTTCCAATATTAGGAAGCCAATGGAGCTATGCACTTTGAAATCTAGATTGAAAACTCGTTTCTTTAAAACAGTTTTTGTCCTTAGTTTGTTGTCCTTCCCCGCACCTCCGATTAGCACGGTTGGCTACGTACGGTGTGAAAGAAGTTCAAAATGCATGCACATTAATATTGCTATTTACATGCAATCCATTGTTTGCCAGTTGTGGGCCTCTAATCAGTTTCCTTCTGTTCAGTGAAAATGAACAAGTCGAGCGTAATGGCATGCTATCAGCATGAATGCCGCGATATAAAAACACATTCCTGCGGAGGGAGCTGGTAGGAACGTTGGGTTGCTCGGTCAATGGCCAGGGTCAACGGCGGCGTGGTGTATTCCGCAAATATGCCCGACTGTGAGGGCGGGCACAAGCCGGCGTGAGTAGGTTAAACGTTGAGTTTTATAAGGACACCACGGGGTGACCAGCCCCTCCCCACCCAGCCCCTCCCCACCCTCCCCACCCAGCCCCTCCCCACCCTCCCCTCTCCACCCAGCCACACCCCTCCCATTTTTGGATGCACGACGGGACAGACAGAATAATCCCCTGTGGGCTGGTGTAACCAGGAGGTTACTACCAGTATGAAAGTATTATTATAACGTATACATATTAACGATACCCGTGTAGTCGTGCAATAACAAAGAGCATGCAAGTGGTAAGACAGCTGCAAACAAAAAGCGCACTCACCCGTGAGGGTGGCAGTCGAGTCTGGATTTCCCTTCGCCCCCGGGCACCGCCTGCTCTCTCACTCTCTTCACTCTGCGACGCGGAGTCACTCTCCAGGGATATTGGCGGTTGCCTGAACTCAAACTCGCTTGTCGTCTCTGCAAGTGAACCAGTGACGGATGGCAATTTAGCGCGACACATTTACTTAACAGATTTCACCCTCACGCAAAGATTTCACCCAAACCATGAAGATTTTTTTTTTTGCTAATGTTCGGCGAGGGATGTTGACAATTCAGCACGAGTCAAGCAACTGCCATTGACTCGTTCATATTATGGGAGGTAAAATTATAATTAAAAGTGTCGATGACCCAAGATTTTGTTACATTTGTATTAACTCATTTAACTTTATATTATTTATTTCCGTCCCATTCCCATCGTTGTTTATGCATTGGCCGAGCATGGGTTTATCTTTTCCATGCAATTTGCAAAAACAGGACACGGATTCTCACAATGCACAATTCACGAGTGTAAGACATTTTTTCAAAAAAATGTGAATGTATATATCATTACAGAGTTAGTGACAGCACCTCGTGGGTAAACGTTTCGCACACTCCGTGTACACAAACACTACCTGCATCGCTTTCTGTCGCCGTGGACTCGTCAAAAACTTGCACCTCTCCATTATACCTCCTATGACAAGAGCAAAAACGATCACCATTCAGTCAATACAGCCTTAGTGAAATATATATAACGTTCGAGTATACGGTCTGTTCTATCACGCGGAAATTGCATTCCTGAAGAACACCGCGCTATGGAAAAATCGCGTTATAATAAACAATATATCATACAGGGTAAAGCAAGTCCGTGATAACACGTGAGATGCGTACGCAGGCTGAACAAAGATGGAGGCGCGTGGGTAACATTGAGAAGCATCCAGCAGCATCCCAACGCCTTGTGTGATGATGCTACCTTGCTTATTCCGACTCACGTGACATAATTCTCAATTGCTTTCAATCCATATCGCATCCCCGTTACAAAAAATGTGTTCCCTAATACATTCATCGCGTAAATATCCAATTCGCGTTATGAAAACAAGATGCGTTATAGGGGAACAAACTGCATACTTGGACGGTTCACAAAATTATGCAACAAATGCCACAATATTTCAACTTATAATAAATACGTTTATTTTGAAATGTTACGTATTTATCCTCCTAAAACATGGGCTTACACACATATATACAGCTACAGGTCTCGGCATAAGGAATAGGGTATATCTACTTTAAATATTAAATGAATGATCCAAGGCCAAATCGAGTGAAACGTCACATTTTGGGAGCTCGTTTGCAGTGCACATACTGCTCAATCATTTTAAAGTCTGCTACACGTTGCTGTTGGTTTTCACTATTAACCCTTTCCCGTTTCAAGACGTCTGCAAGTTGCAGGGTTGGTCCAGTTCACCGCTGAATCTGGGAACGTGCAAGCGGTTCACCGTTAATTGTTTTGAGGCATAGCGCTGTTGTTTTTAAATACATTGTACTCCCCAAAGATAACTGTAGCGACACGGCCACACTATGATAGCTGGCGCCAAATTGTGCCACACTCCCTCTCGCATGGCCTTGTGGGAGCCTTGGTACCGATAAAGTTATTTTAATTTAGTTTTTCTTCCATCGGAATGGAAAAGGGTTAAGACCAGTTTTCCAAAAGTACTCCAACCTGCTCTCATTACCTCTATTTTACGATTTTCATCCACCTTCAATAACTGCGCTAGGCCTATAAATCTGTGGCTGAAGAAGAGCATTTTAAATTGGGGTATATTAGCTGACATGAAAGAAAAACTAACAAGAGCTTAAAATGTTTCAGATAAATAGTCAGGTCTATGCTTGGCAAAAGACTGACAGACAGGAAGAGGTACACACATGGATTAGAGAACATCCACAACTTAGCGACACCGTCGCTAGGTGGAAGTGACGGTGGTTGAGACGAACAACAGTGGCTGCTAAAGAGAACACATGCCTGAGAGGACATCCACCGCGGAGGAGCAAAGCAACTACATGGAGGCACTAGATGGATTGTTGCGTCGCAAGCGTCGCAAGACCTTGTGAGATGACAGCGTTTAAAGGCCAATTATTATGAGCGCTCATTGTCCAGACATAGCACCAGCACATGTATTGTATACGATGTTGAACACACCTGAGCACTTTGCGCTTGATCGCAGGTTTCCTGAATTCAGTGGCGGAGACTGGGCGCCTGCTGTCAACAAAGGAAGGCTCCTCGGGTGAGCTATGATTGGTGGCCGGGATCTGCGGGTCCCCCTCATACGCGGGCAGCTGCGTCTTCCTCGGAGCGTGGAGGGGCGAGAGCCCCGTGGTGGGGGAGCTGCCTCGTGGGACGTGCGTTGTGTGACGTATGTACGGGTCCCTCACTTCACTCCGGCTCACTCGCGGCCGCCTCGAATCAGGCTCGAGCCAAGCCCTCTCTGCAGAACAAGGAATTCCCAGAGATTGAAGGTAAATGAACAAATGTTTGTTTTATGCAGCAAAACAAATATTAAGGAAATATTTAAGTGCATCTATCAATTAGCCATACGAATCAACATCTTCCAGAAACATCTGTGTTTCATAGGCTGGGTGTGGGTCTGATAAAAAAAATACTTTGCCGGCAAGGTATACAAATTAAACGTCAAAATCACCTGCGATTAGCATGGTTGACTTTGTATGGTGCGAAAGAAGTGCAACATACATACATACTACAGTATTTCATTTTAAACAAATATCTTGGCAATCGGCCAGAGGAAGAGATGTTAACTTTTTATACATTTCCCATTTCGGTGGCGAGATGTTAACTACCTCACCTGATATACAGGAGGTCGTGGGTTAAATTCTGACCCTGATGCTTGTATATTTGGAGTTTGCACGCTCTCCCCGTAGTCGCGTGGATTTTTCTCCGGGTCCTCTGGTTTTTCCCTCCACATTTAGCAACATGCATTTAGAGTATTTGGCTGCTATAAATGTCCACATAAGCCACCTCGTTGAGCTATCATTTGTGGCCAGGTCGCTTCTGAAAAAAGAGCTGTTTAGCTCTGTGGGCCTTACTTGGTAAAATAAAAAATATTTTTTTATAGTTTTCAAATGGCACTAGCGGATTATAAATGCTTAAAGGGAAGCAGCAGGAATAAACTACGCTGCGCCTATGAGATTCAAGGTAATTTGATCACCGCATTTCAACCATTGTTGAAAACGTGGGTATTCAAGTATACATTTACGAGGATTAAGATCCAACAACACCTGTTCGAGATGCAGACTACTGTGTTGATCTCTCTTTTCTATAATCCTCTGCCAAATGGCAGGTCTTTGGATCAAGCTCCAACTTGTCTGAGCTGTCTGCTTCACGCCACTGTGGACCACTGTTCTTCAATTTTTAATCATCGTCATCATCTTGTGTGCAGGTGAACAAAAGGATAACCGCCACCTGTCAAAGCTAATAGCCACAGAGGTTTAAGGATCAACAACAGAAAAGAATGTGACGCCCTAGTGGACGTAACACGGCGGCCGAGCGAACATATGTACCATGTGCAGGCAGGATGGCACCACGGGATGGCAATGAGGGGTTGTGCCCGTTCACAGAGGCACTGGACGATCCCGACCGTGACCGCTCATGCTGGATCAACTGCTGCAGGTCTGCACAGAGGGCAAGAGATATTTTGCACCTCCGATTAGCACGGTTGGTTACATATGGTTCAACAAGAGAGGCAGAGGGTGTTCATAAAGAAGCGTTTCATTGCGATCTCACGCTGATAGATCTCATCAGCATTAAGTCCGTGGAAATAAAATGTTACGGGTAAAGCTCTTTTGGTCAATATGATGCTGGATGAGGGTTCAACAGTATGCGGGTCTTGGCGTAATTTAAACATACGTCACGCTGGTCATTACAGCATGAAGGCAGAGAGAACAGCATGGGAGCACAATGGTAGCATACAGTGAGGGAAAAAAATATTTGATCCCCTGCTGATTTTGTACGTTTTCCCACTGACAAAGAAATGATCAGTCTATTATTTTAATGGTAGATTTATTTGAACAGTGAGAGACAGAATACCAACAAAAAATCCAGAAAAACGCACGTCAAAATTGTTATAAATTGATTTGCATTTTAATGAGGGAAATAAGTATTTTACCCCTCTGCAAAACATGACTTAGTACTTGGTGGCAAAACCCTTGTTGGCAATCACAGAGGTCAGACGTTTCTTGTAGTTGGCCACCAGGTTTGCACACATCTCAGGAGGGATTTTGTTCCAATGCTCTATGCAGATATTCTCCAAGTCATTAAGGTTTCGAGGCTGACGTTTGGCAACTTGAACCTTCAGCTCCCTCCACAGATTTTCTATGGGGTTAAGGTCTGGAGACTGGCTAGGCCACTCCAGGACCTTAATGTGCTTCTTCTTGAGCCACTCCTTTGTTGCCTTGGCCGCGTGTTTTGGGTCATTGTCATGCTGGAATACCCATCCACGACCCATTTTCAATGCCCTGGCTGAGAGAAGGAGGTTCTCACCCAAGATTTGACGGTACATGGCCCCGTCCATCGTCCCTCTGATGCGGTGAAGTTGTCCTGTCCCCTTAGCAGAAAAACACCCCCAAAGCATAATGTTTCCACCTCCGTGTTTGACGGTGGGGATGGTGTTCTTGGGGTCATAGGCAGCATTCCTCCTCCTCCAAACACGGCGAGTTGATGCCAAAGAGCTCCATTTTGGTCTCATCTGACCACAACACTTTCACCCAGTTGTCCTCTGAATCATTCAGATGTTCATTGGCAAACTTCAGACGGGCATGTATATGTGCTTTCTTGAGAAGGGGGACCTTGCGGGCACTGCAGGATTTCAGTCTTTCACGGCGTAGTGTGTTACCAACTGTTTTCTTGGTGACTATGGTCCCAGCTGCCTTGAGATCATTGACAAGATCCTCCCGTGTAGTTCTGAGCTGATTCCTCACCGTTCTCATGATCATTGCAACTCCACGAGGTGAGATCTTGCATGGAGCCCTAGGCCGAGGGAGATTGGCAGCTCTTTTGTGTTTCTTCTATTTGCGAATAATCGCACCAACTGTTGTCACCTTCTCACCAAGTTGCTTAGCGATGGTCTTGTAGACCATTCCAGCCTTGTGTAGGTCTACAATCTTGTCCCTGACATCCTTGGAGAGCTCTTTGGCCATGGTGGAGAGTTTGGAATCTGATTGATTGATTGCTTCTGTGAACAGGTGTCTTTTATACAGGTAACAAGCTGATATTAGGAGCACTCCCTTTAAGAGTGTGCTCCTAATCTCAGCTCGTTACCTGTATAAAAGCCACCTGGGAGCCAGACATCTTTCTAATTGAGAGGGGGTCAAATACTTATTACCCTCATTAAAATGCAAATCAATTTATAACATTTTTGACATGCGTTTTTCTGGATTTTGTTGTTGTTATTCTGTCTCTCACTATTCAAATAAACCTACCATTAAAATAATAGACTGATAACTTCTTTGTCAGTGGGCAAATGTACAAAATCAGCAGGGGATCAAATACTTTTTTCCCTCACTGTATGTATTATTTTATAAAACCGTCCTCTGCAATCAATCTTGCAGCCAAGCAGCCTTTAACAACAACAACAACCTCTGTGTGCATGGTGGTCACGCATCCAAGTATTATCCAGGCTCAAAACCAGCGTAGCTTCCGAGATCCGATGCCAACGGCCACATTCCAGGTGATTTGGCCATAGGCTGGGATGAATATATGAATGTGGTATTCGATTATTTTATATTACTCGTAATAATGTGTCTGGGTCTTACTGCTGCAGTCACTGCATGGGATTGGAGCAGCGGACGCTGCAGAGGACGCGAGGTCAATGACGATATTGCTTCATGAGCTTAACTTTAAGATGCCTCACAGACCACTGCAAAGGGTATTATTCTTAGAATGCATTCAAAGGAAGCTTGCTCTCACGTTCCCAAGCTGATTTTATATTTGTCTGTGTTAAGTTTCCAGCTGTACACAAATAGTAATTGCTAATTTTGTCAAGCAGCCCAGAGATGCAATCAACCAAGCTAATGCCAAAATAGAGGGGTGGTAACATTTCAGTGGTCATACTTCCAGTTTCTCTATAGTTTAAATGCCACTCATTCACCGTATAGCACAAAAAATACATTTCCTCAATAACACTCCCTTGCAGTGGAATCGAAGGACGTGTTTAGTTAATTATTTGTGATTATGCACCTCTGGCAACACAGAACACACAACTATCCCTGTGAACTAGGAAGAAACTGACTGATGTATCCAAGCCATGAAGCATTGTAATGATTATGAACTTTGGCTGTGCAAAGTTTATGCCGATATAAATCACATTTGCACGATTTACTATTCGTCACCGACTTTTGAGCATGACACTCCGAGATAGATAGCTCTTTTAAGTTAGCCTTATCTAAACAACAGTGACGAGATGTTAACTACCTCGCCTGGTATACAGGAGGTTATGTGTTCAATTCCAACCCTGAAGCCTATATATTTGGAGTTTGAATGTTCTCCCTGTGGTCACGTGGATTTTCTCCAGGTCCTCAAGTTTTTCCCTTCACATTTAGAAACATGTGTTTAAGAGTGTTTGTCTGCTATAAATTTCCACATGATAAACCACTTCATTGAGCCATCATGTGACCAGGTCACTTCTGAAAAATAGCTATATAGCTCAGTGGGCCTTACCTGGTCAATTAAAAATAGTTAATTAATTGATGTGAATTCAGCTTGTACTGCCTGTTGTTCAGCATGATGTCCAATGTTTCAACCCACGTGCTGGGAGCTCTCACAGGATCGAGCAAATCACCAAACACAACCAGAAACCACTTCAGAAATGTAGCGCATGGTGCTCGATATTTTAAGAAGTAGTCTCACCTTTTTGGAACTCGCGCAGCCTCCCCTGGGACACGTTATGGTAGCCGAGGGCAGCGAGTTGGCTCCGAATATCCTCCTCCGAGAAACTCAGCTCCTCCATTACCCCTCTCACCGTGTCACCTACTGATGTCATGCAAAAATACCCAATGAATTTTGCTGAAGCGTGTATATATAAGCTATGAATCCAGCCACGTGATTTAAATTACCAACCAAAGACTAACATCAGTCGTAAGTGACAAATTAATCGGGCTTGGGTGCCTTGCTTCATCAACCATCAAAAGAGCAGTGTGGTCACGTATTGTCAAACAACCTCCTTGACCGACACGGCTGTGGAGAAGCCTTCATCCAGCAGTGGATTGACAAAGGACTCTAACTATTATCAATGTTATACACACACACACTGGACGTTGCTGCTGCGGATTGTTGAGATAACGCTCAGTCCTCACGCAGCCAATACTGTACTCTTAAGAAACCGTTGCACTCAAACAAAGTACAGGTTGCTAGGAACGCCATGAAAAGCTTGGGATGCTACTGGGGAGGGTATAAGGTAAACAATGTAACAAGCTGCAATTGAGATTGACGTGTTCAATAACTGCACTACTGAAAATGGTATTGCATTATTACTCATAACATTTACAATTGCACTTTTTGTGGTGTTAATGCCGCACAACGCATAACATTTAATACTGTGACTATTTTGAATTACATTGCGACTCAAATGTACAATCGCATCATTAGAGAAATTAGAACTTTGCATTACACCTCATCACGTTCACAGTATCAATGTAATACTGACATTGTATTCAGTATTACATTACAACTAAAACGTATAACAGCATTTTCAGAGCAACTGCATACTACATTGCACGTCATCACGGTTTACATGATTGCAATAATTACATAATAATTTTACTGAAATTGCATTGTGCTATATATTGTACATTCCTGTCATTATAATCTCTCATTAAACTGTAATTGGATCCAAATGTATAATTATATCGCAGGCCAATTGTAACTAAATCCTTGTATTGTAACAGACTTGCTGTATTATAACTCGACACAAAACATCACTATCACATGATAGAACATGTAACGAACCCTAACTTTTCACAATACGCTTACAATTGTTACACAAGAGATATTCGCGTTTTCTTGGCATTTCAATCAAGACTCGGGGCTCTTTACTTATTCACATTTTCGTCGGGAAATTACCACTTGTAAGACCAACTAAACCACCGATCATCGCGATACGTTGCAAAAGTCACGATCATCGCCTAACTTAAATGCATTATCAGCCGATGCTGCTGCGTTGGAAAGTGGTGGCACGGGTGCTCTGAAGGGGACATTGCCTGAAACGTCGCGATATTATACCGTAGACACCACCAGTCTTTTAACAGACTGTCGGGGCAAGTGATGTTAACGAGTTGCTATATTCTTAGGTTTTTTCGGTAAAGTCACGTAGGTAAAACATCAAAATTAATGAAAATAAAATAAAACAAAAATCACGACGTTTCGGAGGCAACACAAGTCTCCGTCATCAGGTGGGACCGTCACAGCCGAATTAGCTGCATCAAGTGAGGCCATGATTCAAGATGTGACGGTCCCACCTGATGACGGAGACTTGTGTTGCCTCCGAAACGTCGTGATTTTTGTTTTATTTTATTTTCATAAATTTTGATGTTTTACCTACGTGACTTTACCGAAAAAACCTAAGAATATGAATCCGTAGAATCACGAAAGCTTCAAATCTAGAATTAACGAGTTGCACCTATGAAAGCCGGCACGGCACACCACACGAGGGGGTGGGTGGCCAGGAACATGCCCGGCCGCCTTTGTCTCCCCAGTGAGTGGCGATGTTTACACACCGCACCAAGTAACTCATTTGAGGCCGAGTCGACCTAGGGGGGGGGGGGTTGTCACCCAGGACCGGGTTAAGATAATTAATCGTCACCGGTGTTGGTGGCCGTGAGTGGGAATCGAACTCGGGTGGCCGGGTTTCGTAGCGCAGTGGCGCTAACCACTACACCACCGCTCCCCAGGCACACAACAACCGCCTGGCGGCGACGTCACCACGGCGCCTGTGCCAGGCTAGGTGCACGTTAAGGACACGCGTGAAGTGTCGGAACGTACGTTGGCAGGAGGTCGCAGGACTGACCCAGGTCAGGTGACACGTGACCGATCGACTGAGATTGACGAGGCAAGATGCTCCACCATTCACACCTACAGTGCTAACTCGCTGTGGTTTAGCCACACACACAACACCCCACACACAGCAACACACACACTGCAACACACCACACACAGCAACACAACACACCACCCACAGCAACACACCACACACAACAACACCACACACACAACAACACACCACACACCACACACAATAACACCACACACACACACAACACACCACACACACACAACACACCACACACACAACACACCACACACAACAACAAACACACACAACACACCACACACACAACACACCACACACAACAACAACACACACACACAACACCACACACACACAACACACCACACACACCAACACATACACCACACACACAACACAACAACACACCACATACACAACAACACAACACACACCACACAACAACACACCACACAACACAACAACACCACACACACACAACAACACCACACACACACAACAACACCACACACACACAACAACACACACACACAACACAACACACCACACAACAACACACCACACACACAACACACCACACACACAACACACCACATACACAACAACACACACACACATACACAACAACACACACACAACAACACAACACACCACACACACGACAACACAACACACACACCACACACACAACACACCACATACACAACAACACACACAACACAACAACACACACACACAACACACGACAACAACACAACACACACACACAACACCCCACACCACAACAACACCCCACACACCACACACAACAACACACACCACACACACAACACACCACACACAACAACGCTTCGTGCTCCCATTCCTCGCGGACCTAGCCGCTGCGAAACCATCCTTCACGAAACGTTGAAGGTGCCGTCGAAGCTACGCTCGAGAGGAATTAGACTCGAGTTTAAGAGGAATTAAACATTAAACTTTAAACATTAAACATTAAACTTTCTACTTTACCGTCAACGACGCTGGACGCGACTTCCCGCTTCGCTGGAAAGGCCCCGACCGTTTTAAAAAATGGCGGCGGTTGGCGTCGTCCCGGCGGCCTCTGCGCGGCGACTTCTGTCTGCGCCCACGCGCGGAGCAACAAATGTTGTAGTTTTCACCGCTTCGTTTTTGTTATTTTTTTAAAATATCGATTTTTGGGGTAAGGGTTTGGTTGTAATCACCAGGGAAAGGTCATACTCGAATTGTAACCGTTGTGGGTTTTAACGCGTAGGCTTTCGCGACCAATATCATCCATAAGAGGCTTTTTTTGGGGTTAGATCGCGTAAATATACGTTGTGGATTTACTCTCCAACACACCGGTGTGCTGAAATCGTCGCCAATTGGCATTGTTTTGTTGACTGCGTTGGGTGGTGGCGAGATTAACGACGACACACTTGAAACATTTCTACGTTTTCCACGCGGCAGCTCTCACTGAACGAGCCTTCCTTTAAATTTCGATTTAAAGCTTTCGTGACTGCAGGGATTCATCTTCTTGGTTCTTTCGGTAAAGTCACGTAGAAAGGAAATGATAAAATAATAAAAATAAAACATAATAAAATAATTCTCACGACGTTTCGTCCACAACGCAAGCAGCCGTCCTCAGGTGAAGAACAGGTCTATCGGAAAGACAGCGTCCCTAATCGCCCGAACGCCATGGGTGGATTTGGGCGAATGCCATGCCAGACATTCAGTTTCATTTATTATTTCAGTTTCATTTTTTAGGTATGACCCCGTGAGCCCTGCGGCTCTTGACTCGGGTGCAATCGCAACAAAACAAAAACACGAACAAAAAACATCTTAAAGTGACTACACGCAACAGAAAAATCCTGGAAAAAACAGCAAAGTCTTCCAGAAAAAAACACCGTATTTCAACGCTGTGTGTAAAAATCCCAGTGGGATGCAAGTCACACAATAACAACCACAAGACAATGTAGATTACAGTTATCAGGCTAACTCTGTACAATATAGACATCTGCAATGGTATTTCAGTGGCTACTCTGGCTCTCTCTGGCTACAAATCAGCGATGCTTAGCTAAGCCATAGCCGAAGCATATGTAGGTTAGATTAACAACGGAATAAAAAAAAATTGCACTAAACAAAAATGATCCCTGCCAGTGTCCCTGTTAGCAGAGGTGGGACAAAGTCATTGTTATGCAAGTCCAAGTCGAGTCTGAAGTCATCAAATTCATGACTCGAGTCTGACTCGAGTCCAAGTCACATGACTCGAGTCCACACCTCAGAGGTGGGACAAAGTCATTGTTATGCAAGTCCAAGTCGAGTCTGAAGTCATCAAATTCATGACTCGAGTCTGACTCGAGTCCAAGTCACATGACTCGAGTCCACACCTCAGAGGTGGGACAAAGTCATTGTTATGCAAGTCCAAGTCGAGTCTGAAGTCATCAAATTCATGACTCGAGTCTGACTCGAGTCCAAGTCACATGACTCGAGTCCACACCTCTGCCTGTTAGAACGGCATTAAAACGAATGTATGTTTTGCTCACGTGGGAAGCACCCATGATTGAATCAAGATTGGATCACGCACTGTGGAATTGTATATAATTGTATATTATGTAAAATATATATGATTCATCCAGGCATCGCACCGGCACCGTACGTAGCCAACCGTGCGGGGGAAGGACAACAAACTAAACACAAAAAAATGACCACGATCAACCACCATCATAACCATCATCATTTCAATCACTCTCACCATCATCATCCATTGCAGACATATGCAATGATGAATTAAGCCCCACACCACTCACCCAGCAAACACTCTAACGTTGGTCTAACGTTGGCGTGTGGTTGGAGCTGTCATGATCGACAGCCAGTGTCAAGTAGGGGTCTGAAAGAAAGCCCTGCTGCATCACAAATTCGCATCAGGGTGTAATAAATTACATCCCTAGACCAGAAACAATTATTACGCATCATGATGTTTTAATAATTACTGGATACAGTGACAGTAAAAAGTATACATTTTGACTTTAAACTTTCGTGACTGCAGGAATTCATATTCTTTGGTTATTTCGGCAAAGTCACGTAGATAGCAACAACAAAAACAAAGTAAACAAAAATAATTAAACAAAAATAATAAATAAAAACACTCATGTATATCATTTGGGTCTTTCGGTAAAGCCACGTAGATATAAAAACAACAAAAATAAGATTTGTGTTGTCTTGTCAACGTCCACCGTCAGCAGTGTGGGTGTATGGAGCAAGGCGCAATGATTGCCTGGAGGCACTTTTGGTGGAGACCCACTGACTGCTTAGTTGTTTCCGACATTAACATTAGCTGCACCGCCCATGCTGCTGACACACTTGGGCTACACCCATCTCTGAACCTTTATAAACAGTTTTCCTTTAGAGGCTGACCCCCCTTTTTCCTGATGACGACCACTTGTGTTGCGATCGAAACGTCGTGGTTTTTGTTTTTATTTGATTTTTCTTATTTTTATTTTATTCAGGTTAGAACCAGGCTACATTCTACATTACAGACTGCCAATACGCTCACCAGCTTATTTTGTATTTTATTTTTATTATTTGTATTTTTATTCACTTATATTTTTATTTTCTATCTACGTGACTTTACCGAAAGAATCAAAGAATAGTAAAAAGTATCATTATAATAAATAAATAAATGAGACCAGACATGAAGTTGTGTATGTTGTTTATTCTGTTAAAAGTGACGTGTACTCGATTAACTTCTTGAATTAATGAGTCAAGAACAGCGCAGTAAATCTTGATTTAGCATGTTTGCTGTATAATGGTTCGTGCTACTATATTTGATTCAGATTGTTTAGCTGATGGATGCATTCAGTTCATGTTAAAGCGTGTATCCAATTTGCAACGGCGGTCATGATTGTGTGTTATTGCTGAGAGTTAATACGTTAAATGCATAAATATTGTTGAATGTTGTTCACGTTGTTTCTTTATGGGAACGAATCATTACCAGTTGGCAACCGGGAAGGGAAGACGCACGCATCCGCACCACGTGGACTGACACTTCTTGATCACAGGTTTCAAGGTGGAGTTTCAGAATAAAGTGCAACCGACCTGGGCAAAGTCTCCAAGTCCATCGTTGAGTGCATACCTGACAACCAGGTTCACTGGTACACCACGTATCTATAAACCAATTACCGTATTTTCTCGCATATAGCCCGCATACGCATATAACCCGCAGACGCATATACCCCGCAAAATTTGCGTTTTGTGTAAACAAATTTCAGATAGCCCGCACCTCCATATACCCCGCATGCATTCATATATTTAACGTCGTTACCGCAGCTTAATTCCAGCATATAATACAAAGTTTACATTTGTAATACATTCCACTATCAATTGTGAACATTAAAATCATAACGTGCACAAAGATAACAAACTAACCGGAAATGAGTGAACTTAAAACGGTAAATAAGTAACAAAAGTAAATATCCAATAAAACAGGACCCTGCGGGGTGGGCTGGTAGGACCGAACAATTGAATGGCTATAATAAAATGAAATGGCAAAAAATGGCCGCCAATAAGTGGATGCCCCGTGGCCCCACCCTCCACCCGCGTAACCCCGCCCCGGCCACCCGTGGCCCCGCCCCATCTCGGTGTCCCCGCCCCCAGCTCGTTGCCCTGCCCCTTACCACCGTAACCCCGCCCCAACCCCGCGTAGCCCCGTCCTCCACCTCGTGGCCACGCCCCTTGCCGCCGTTGCCCCGCCCAGCCCCGCATAGCCCCGCCCCCTGCCGCTGTAGCCCCGCCCCCTGCCGCTGTAGCCCCGCCCCCTGCCGCTGTAGCCCCGCCCGATACACCCCGAGCGGGGGAGAGATTCCCAGGCCTGGCTCGGCTGGAGAGCCGCCGGCGAGGGGGGGAGGGGGGTAGGGAGTTGTTTTTAACGTAAAAGCTTTAAATGTAAATGTTTCTATTAAAAAACATCAGGGAATGTAACATTGTTAAACATTAACTCCCTTTCACACACGCGGGGGTATGATACGAAGGGAGAGTTTGAGGCCTAGGTCTAGGTTTTAGGCCTAGCTGTAGGCCTTAGGCCACCGTGAGTTAATTGTTAATATAAATGTTTTAATTATTTATGTAAAAGCTTTAAATGTAAATGTTGCTATTTAAAAACATCAGGGAATGTAACATTGTTAAACATTAACTCCCTTTCACACACGCGGGGGTACGATACGAAGGGAGAGTTTGAGGCCTAGGTCTAGGCTTTAGGCCTAGCTGTAGGCCTTAGGCCGCCGTGAGTTAATTGTTAATATAAATGTTTTAATTCATGTAAAAGCTTTAAATGTAAATGTTGCTATTTAAAAACATCAGGGAATGTAACATTGTTAAACATGAACTCCCTTTCACACACGCGGGGGTACGATACGAAGGGAGAGTTTGAGGCCTAGGTCTAGGCTTTAGGCCTAGCTGTAGGCCTTAGGCCGCCGTGAGTTAATTGTTAATATAAATGTTTTAATTATTTATGTAAAAGCTTTAAATGTAAATGTTTCTATTAAAAAACATCAGGGAATGTAACATTGTTAAACATTAACTCCCTTTCACACACGCGGGGGTACGATACGAAGGAGAGTTTGAGGCCTAGGTCTAGGCTTTAGGCCTAGCTGTAGGCCTTAGGCCGCCGTGAGTTAATTGTTAATATAAATGTTTTCATTATTTACGTAAAAGCTTTAAATGTAAATGTTGCTATTTAAAAACATCAGGGAATGTAACATTGTTAAACATGAACTCCCTTTCACACACGCGGGGGTACGATACGAAGGGAGAGTTTCAGGCCTAGGTCTCGGTTTTGGTAGGGTCATGCCAAGTGTTTGCAGTAGGGGGCGATGTTGCTACACGGACGGACAAACGGACAAATGGACGGACGATATAATATATTGGTGGCTAGGTCCACTTCGTTCTTACCAGTATAAGTAACATAACTGGTAGATAAGTAAGTACAGTTTTAGCACTGGTAGATTGCGCACAGCGCAGATAATAGCGGCACTACGGTAAAGCCTTTGCCTCGCCCCCACCTCTCTCCCCCCAGCTGCCCTACCCCCCAACCCCCACCTATCCCTCCCCCCAGCTCTCCCGTCGCAGGTAAACCGTGCCCGCACTTCAAAAATTGTCATTTAATTTGTTCAAACAATTCATTTAAAACGTGATAACATGTGCAATTTTAGTGTGAGTGGTTTGTTCAGCAGTGCTTTAGTCAAAGGTAAGTGTTGCATAGTGGACAGTCCTACCATGAACAATTGTAAAGAGTTATGATATGTCACACGTGTAAAATATTTTTGGGATAGCCCGCACCTCCATATACCTCGCAGGGTCTTGTTTATATGCGGGAAAAATAGGTAAATATACAGCCACAGAACTCTTAAGAGTTCCCAAGTGCTACACCAACGTTGGCCCAACGTTGTAAATACCTGTCCCCCATCACCAAGCAGCATTTTCCACTCCAAACTGCCATTTACCTGCTCTCACTTGATTTTATTTTAAACTACAATTGAGGCATTCCACGTACAATGGCCGTGGCTTTTAAACAATGGGACTGTTGACAAGAGTTCATGTACAACGTGAATGTTAACGTAGATAATCTACATTACAAATGTCAACACGAACCAATGTACATTCGGAATTTGATCCTTCAAATGCCCCATTAAAAACATTCATGATCGCAGTCAGGATTTAAGGCTTAATATCTCAGCAATTATGGGTACGGACCCAGTAAAAATGCAACTTTGAGGCCAACGTTCGTCAAACATCAACCCACGTGGGCCAGATGTCTTCGTGCTTACTGGGGAAAGATCTCACCAGGATGACACATCTGCAACCATCGTATCGTTTCATCTTCGGACGTTTCGACAGCCAATCATGAGACCTTTAAATTCCCGTCATTTGTCGCCTTTTTAATTCCTGTCAGGAATTAAAAAGGCGACAACTTGTGGACCAGTGGGAATTATCCGTTGAATGTCCGGCGATGAAAACACTACGGTTAGAGAAGCATCAACTTGGTGACATTTTCCCTTACCCATAATGGTTTCGATATTAAATGCTACATTCTATCCCAAATTCTTGCACATGTACTGATCTCATCATGCCATTCTCTGTCGTGGTCATCCTTGGTGCATTTTCTCATTCACCCCATATGCAAACAAAACATTACATTATAACACACACATTAGGAATTAAGTATTTATTGTTTAAATCCATATAAAGACAGGTATTGTCATTTATCTGTATTTACACATTTTACAAGGCACCCATTTTATTTTTCTCACGCAAAAAAACTATTCCTGCCATTCCTCTGCCTCATCCCAACTATGTTTGTGATATTAACTTCCCTCTGCTGCAATAAAAAATATATGCTATTAACTGTGCTAGACACCAAAATATAGTACATAATGGCATACTAGTACGGTACGCAAACAACCAGGTGAACATTATGTTAAACACAATTACAATTAAATGACTGAAACTAATACTTTAAAAGCAGGCACAAACATTTTTCAAATAAGCCTAAATGCATATAAAAAGTGCGTAATTAAACATGTTATAAAATATACAATGTGTCAGCAAAACTCTAACATAATCGTGTGCTTTATGCAAAGCAACTAAAATATGGTTAATTGTATGTCCACTTCAGTGATACTCTGCAATATAGTACCCAATAAACATGGAACTTTGAACGTTGGAGAGACGTTGGGGCGACGTTGGAGCAACATTGGAACGACGGTTTCAACCACAATCCAACGTTGGCCCAGTGTTTCGTGTTTATTGGGACAGTACTCTCGTTGTACCAATACAGAAATGGTTATTTTGAGAGAACGTAGTACAAACATTAAACACCACCACGCAGTGCAATCAAAATGAAGGCACCTTATTGACGACAGATCCAGAAGGGAGGTCCACGATTGAAGTGATATTGCGTTAATTCCATGGCTATTATCCTATATTTGTATGGCATTTGTGTATGTTCATGAAAATGGAACATTTCAATAAATTGAATTGTAACTCGTGTATTCCAGGTTAATAAATGCAGGTAAAGTGGTAGTTTTTGCAAGCCTAAAAATGCACTTTTCTGATGTATAAATATGCACAAATGTTGTGCACCATTGCTGATACAGTACATTTGCTTTAACATTTACACTCCCAATATCCACACAATATGATCATGTCAATTTCTGCACCTGAATATCGAACCATTAAAGTACACCAGATTTGTAAAAAATCATTTTTGATACAGCTAGATCAGTATGGAAGTGGAGAAATTCTGCTTGGGTTTTAAAAAATATATTTCTGACAAGTGTTTCAACAGGTGTAAAATCTCAAGTTTCAGTGACCACACACAGTGCCTAATGATTAAAATAAACGTGAAAACTGCTGCCTTAGCTTTATATACAAACATATGAAACGGTAAATCTCATCAACAGTACCAAAAATAAAGAATGTATTCTAACATGCATTACATTTTCACTTGTAACCAGCCTTTGAGTGCTAAGCAGCTAATTTGTTTTTAAATAATAATGCAGTTTAGATAGTCGCAAGATGGTTGTGTTTTTCCAAAGCACATGGGCTGCAAAGGGGGGAGGGTTGGATGTTTGTTCAAATAAACAAGTACATTACGTCCCATGTCCGACTGTCACATTTACGACCCTACATATTCACTGCACCCACTCAGTCGCAGTCTTTTGTGCATGGTGATGTAGATGTAATTTTCTATAGATGTTTACATATCTGACTTTTTGACATTATCCACCTGTACCTTAGGCCCGAGCGAGTCAGATATGCGATGGTTACCGTACAGTATTGCGTCAAACGTAACTTTGTCATATACACATTATAACTGTGATGTGTATAATCATGGATTAGTACACCAAAATAAAATAGCAATTTATATATACAACTCTACCACAGTGGTGGTCACACAAGTATACGTTATTATATGTATTTTACTTCGTTACAAAATATGGTTACGGATAGTACATTGGATGTTTCTGTAGATGTGTGATAGGTCCATAGGACACTTACACCAAGAGACGGTTTTGATCACTATTTTGGGGTCTACATATATTACAAATTTCTTTGCTTTGTTACTTTTTTCTTTTAATTGCAGTTATTGCATGTGCTTTTGAAATAAAATCCATCAACCTCAATTGTTATCTGACAAATTGGCAATGTTGAGGGGGTCTAACATCACGTGCTAAATGACACATTTGATTCTCACAAAAGCTTGAATACAGAAGATGCGGAAGCTCATTAATGTTAAAATAAAATACAAAAATGGTTAACAATTAGTTACGAGCATTATGAAACAGGAAATCTTAAATATTTTCACCTTCAAATATGTTAACTTACTTTATTTCTTGAACACATGTCAGATAAATTAATCGACTATTCATTTGGTGTGGGCCTTGACTGGTGACAAAACAATTTAACAGATCAGGTGCGTCAGGCATGATAATTCCAAATGGCATGTGAAAACTACTGTATAAAAAAAAGTGTATGAAAAAGATATCAAAGAAGGATGACCAATCCAAGTATTTGCTTTTATTTACAGTATTCAGTATTGCGCCTTCAAAGTTATGAAAAGCCAATTTTTGGTAGTCCGATCTTAATTCCAGTTCCCGTGTCCAGATCCTCTTGTGAGCCAGAGGACATTCGCAAATCAGGGGAGCTGAGTTTGAGATTGCCAGATGCGTCAGCATCCCCAGAAATGTTTGCGAACCCTTTCTTCTTTGAGGGACCCAGAGAAAACCCTGGGAGTTTGAACTTAGACTTACTCTTCTTGCCAGCAAGGTCTGCTTCATCATCTTGCACATGAAAGTCAAGAGTGCCAGAACGTCCATGTAATTTTGGATCACCATGAATTTCAGCACCATGTCCCCCAAGAGTATAAGAGCCTTTTGATGAAAATCCTGATTGGACGTTTGGTGATTTCAAAGACAAGTCACTATCTAATTCCCCAAGATCTGTATTAACTTTTGGCCCTCTAATATTCACACCTGGGGAAGAGTAATTTCCCTTTACTCGTGGAGAAGAAACATCTAGATCAATATTTGCTTCAGGAGTTCTGATTTTAGGTCCAGAAAAACCAAAGTTAGGTGTTTTCATGTCGGGGCCCTTAAAGTGACCCTTTGGTCCTTTAACATCGAGGTCAGTATCAAGGTCAATACTTCCTTTTGGTGCTCTGAAATTAATATCTGGTGCATGCAAATCACCTTCCATATTTGGTCCGGAATAATTCAAACGTCCTCCCATATTTGGTACATTCACATCTGCATCAAAAGAAGGCGTCTTTAAGTTTGGCATGTTAGTCTTAACTTTTGGACCTTTGAGATTAACGTTTGGGGATTCAGCATCAAAATCAGCATCAAAATCTGGTCCAGATGCTTTCGGTAAAGACACGTTAAATTTGGGCATCTTTAAATGAGGTACTTTCATCTTCCCTCCTGGTCCATCAAAGTCAATATTAGGTCCACTAATATTACCACCAATATTTGGACCTTTAAGATGAACGTCAGGGGCATCCAAATTGGCATTGACTTTTGGAGCTTTCATGCCTCCTCCCAGTTTTGGCCCCGATATATTTAAATCTGCATCGGGAAGATCCACATCAAAATCACCATCTGGGCCTGATATCTTTGGCTTTGACATACCAAAAGAAGGCATGTGAAACTTGCCTTTTGGTCCTTTGAGATCAACATCAGGGGCATCGAAATTGGCATTGACCTTTGGTGCTTTCATGCCTCCTCCCAGTTTTGGGCCAGAAATGTTTAAATCTGCATCGGGAAGATCCACATCAAAATCACCATCTGGGCCTGATATCTTTGGCTTTGACATACCAAAAGAAGGCATGTGAAACTTGCCTTTTGGTCCTTTGAGATCAACATCAGGGGCATCGAAATTGGCATTGACCTTTGGTGCTTTCATGCCTCCTCCCAGTTTTGGGCCAGAAATGTTTAAATCTGCATCGGGAAGATCCACATCAAAATCACCATCTGGGCCTGATATCTTTGGCTTTGAAATACCGAAAGAAGGCATGTGAAACTTGCCTTTTGGTCCTTTGAGATCAACATCAGGGGCATCGAAATTGGCATTGACCTTTGGTGCTTTCATGCCTCCTCCCAGTTTTGGGCCAGAAATGTTTAAATCTGCATCGGGAAGATCCACATCAAAATCACCATCTGGGCCTGATATCTTTGGCTTTGAAATACCGAAAGAAGGCATGTGAAACTTGCCTTTTGGTCCTTTGAGATCAACATCAGGGGCATCGAAATTGGCATTGACCTTTGGTGCTTTCATGCCTCCTCCCAGTTTTGGGCCAGAAATGTTTAAATCTGCATCGGGAAGATCCACATCAAAATCACCATCTGGGCCTGATATCTTTGGCTTTGACATACCAAAAGAAGGCATGTGAAACTTGCCTTTTGGTCCTTTGAGATCAACATCAGGGGCATCGAAATTGGCATTGACCTTTGGTGCTTTCATGCCTCCTCCCAGTTTTGGGCCAGAAATGTTTAAATCTGCATCGGGAAGATCCACATCAAAATCACCATCTGGGCCTGATATCTTTGGCTTTGAAATACCGAAAGAAGGCATGTGAAACTTGCCTTTTGGACCTTTGAGATCAACATCAGGAGCATCCAAATTGGCATTGACCTTTGGTGCTTTCATGCCTCCTCCCAGTTTTGGGCCAGAAATGTTTAAATCTGCATCGGGAAGATCCACATCAAAATCACCATCTGGGCCTGATATCTTTGGCTTTGAAATACCGAAAGAAGGCATGTGAAACTTGCCTTTTGGACCTTTGAGATCAACATCAGGGGCATCGAAATTGGCATTGACCTTTGGTGCTTTGAGGTCTCCTTCAAAGTGCGGTCCAGATATATCTAGGCCACCTTTCCCCTTTGGCATTTTCAGATTTGCATCAAGATCTGGTCCAGATAATTTTGGCCCAGACATATTGAATGTTGGCATTTTAATGTTAGGTCCTTTAATACCTCCTTCTGGTCCATCAAAGTCAAGGTTAGGTCCACTAAGTTTTCCGCCAATTTTTGGAGTTGAAACATCGAAATTTCCTTTTGGTGTTTTCAGGTCCACATCAACATCTGGGCCATGAAGCTTTGGTCCAGAGATTCCAAACTTTGGCATGGACATTTTAGGTTTTTTTAATTTTAGATCTGGACCTTGAATGTCAAAGTCTGGTGCACTGGCATCCAATCCAATGTCTGGGGCCTTAAAATCAACATTCGGAGACTTCAGGTCAATATTTCCTTTCATATTAGGCATTTTCATATCCAAATTAGGATTAGGTATGTCCAAGTCTGCTGTGGGAAGTTTTGCTCTTGATCCTGAGAAACCAACTTTGGGAAACTTAAATTTTGATTTTTTCAATGTTCCGCCAGGACCAGTAATATCGATGTTTGGAGACTCCATATTAATATCAAGTGCAGGAGTTTTAGGTGTCTTCAAACCCCCTTCAATGTTCACATCAGGAATACTTGCTGCTCCTTTAATATTAGGTGTGTTCAGATCAACATTAAGATCTGGAACAGATATTTTCTTACCAGCAGTACCAAACTTTGGCAATTTGAATTTTGGTGACTTAGTTTTAATATCAGGCCCTTCTAATGACAGGTTAGGACTATCAATGTTGACTTTTGGTTGTTTTATTCCAACATTTGGTCCTTTAAGGTCCACTTTTGGCATGTCAATTCCTCCTCCTATCTTTGGACCAGATAGGTTAAAATCAGCGTGTGGTAGATTAACATCAAAATCACCATCTGGCCCTGATATCTTTGGCTTTGATATACCAAAAGAAGGCATGTGAAACTTGCCCTTTGGACCTTTGACATCAATATCTGGAGCTTCCAAATCAGCATTTAGTTTTGGTGCTTTGAGGTTCGCATCAATATGTGGTGCAGAAAGATCTAGCCCTCCTTTCATCTTTGGCATTTTAAGATCTATATCTGGCCCAGATAATTTTGGCCCAGACATATTGAATTTAGGCATTTTTAAGTGAGGTCCTTTGATGTTTCCTCCTGGTGCATCAAGGTCAATGTTAGGTCCACTAATTTTTCCACCTATGTTTGGAGCAGAAATGTCAATATCTCCTTTAGGTGCTTTGAGGTCAACGTCAAGATTTGGGGCATGCAGTTTGGGACCAGAGATCTTGGGCATTGAAAACTTTGGTTTCTTTAAATTTATATCTGGACCTTCAAGATCAATATTGGGAGCCTTGAGATCAATCTTTGGTGTTTTGATACCTCCCCCCAGTTTGGGCCCAGATATATTTAAATCTGCGTCTGGAAGATTCACATCAAAGTCACCATCTGGACCTGAAATCTTTGGCTTTGACATACCAAAAGAAGGCATCTTCACATCTGGCATGTTAAACTTGCCTTTTGGACCTTTGAGATCAATGTCAGGAGCATCCAAATCGGCATTGAATTTTGGAGCTTTAATGCCTCCACCCAATTTTGGTCCTGAAATGTTTAAATCTGCATCTGGAAGATTTACATCAAAATCACCATCTGGACCTGAAATTTTTGGCTTTGATATACCAAAAGAAGGCATATGAAACTTGCCTTTAGGACCTTTTATATCAATATCTGGAGCATTCAAATCAGCATTTAATTTTGGTGCTTTGAGATCTCCTTCAATACGTGGTGCAGACATATCTAGGCCCCCTTTCATCTTTGGCATTTTAAGATCCACATCAAGATTTGGGCCAGATAATTTTGGTCCTGACATATTGAATTTAGGCATTTTTAAGTGAGGTCCTTTGATGTTCCCTCCTGGTGCATCAAGGTCAATGTTAGGTCCACTAATTTTTCCACCTATGTTTGGAGCAGAAATGTCAATATCTCCTGTAGGCGCTTTGAGGTCAACGTCAAGATTTGGGGCATGCAGTTTGGGACCAGAGATCTTGGGCATTGAAAACTTGGGTTTCTTTAAATTTATATCTGGACCTTCAAGATCAATTTTCGGAGCCTTGAGATCAACCTTTGGTGTTTTGATACCTCCCCCCAGTTTGGGCCCAGATATATTCAAATCTGCATCTGGAAGATTCACATCAAAGTCACCATCTGGACCTGAAATCTTTGGCTTTGACATACCAAAAGAAGGCATCTTCAAATCTGGCATGTTAAACTTGCCTTTTGGACCTTTGAGATCAATGTCAGGGGCATCTAAATCGGCATTGAATTTTGGAGCTTTAATGCCTCCACCCAATTTTGGTCCTGAAATGTTTAAATCTGCATCTGGAAGATTCACATCAAAGTCACCATCTGGACCTGATATCTTTGGCTTTGACATACCGAAAGAAGGCATCTTCAAATCTGGCATGTTAAACTTGCCTTTTGGACCTTTGAGATCAATGTCAGGGGCATCTAAATCGGCATTGAATTTTGGAGCTTTAATGCCTCCACCCAATTTTGGTCCTGAAATGTTTAAATCTGCATCTGGAAGATTCACATCAAAGTCACCATCTGGACCTGATATCTTTGGCTTTGACATACCGAAAGAAGGCATCTTCAAATCTGGCATGTTAAACTTGCCTTTTGGACCTTTGAGATCAATGTCAGGAGCATCCAAATCGGCATTGAGTTTTGGAGCCTTGAGATCTCCTTCAAAATGTGGTGCAGATATATCTAGACCTCCTTTCATTTTTGGCATTTTAAGGTTTGCATCAAGGTCTGGGCCAGATAACTTTGGCCCAGACAGATTGAATTTAGGCATTTTTAAGTGAGGTCCTTTGATGTTCCCTCCTGGTGCATCAAGGTCAATGTTAGGTCCACTAATTTTTCCACCTAGATTTGGAGCAGAAATATCAATATCTCCTTGAGGCGCTTTGAGGTCAAAGTCAAGATTTGGAGCATGCAGTTTGGGACCAGAGATCTTGGGCATTGAAAACTTGGGTTTCTTTAAATTTATATCTGGACCTTCAAGATCAATATTTGGAGCCTTGAGATCAATCTTTGGTGTTTTGATACCTCCCCCCAGTTTGGGCCCAGATATATTTAAATCTGCGTCTGGAAGATTCACATCAAAGTCACCATCTGGACCTGAAATCTTTGGCTTTGACATACCAAAAGAAGGCATCTTCAAATCTGGCATGTTAAACTTGCCTTTTGGACCTTTGAGATCAATGTCAGGGGCATCTAAATCCGCATTTAGTTTTGGAGCCTTGAGATCTCCTTCAAAGTGTGGTGCAGATATATCTAGGCCTCCTTTCATCTTTGGCATTTTAAGGTTTGCATCAAGGTCTGGGCCAGATAACTTTGGCCCAGAGACATTGAATTTAGGCATTTTTAAGTGAGGACCTTTGATGCTCCCTCCTGGTCCATCAAGGTCAATGTTAGGTGCACTAAATTTTCCATCAATATTTGGAGCAGAAATATTGAAATCTCCCTTTGGTGCTTTAAGGTCCACATCCAGATCTGGGGCATTAAGTTTTGGACCAGATATCTTGGGCATTGAAAACGTTGGCTTCTTCAACTTTAAATCAGGACCATGAAGGTCGATATCTGGTGCATTCACGTCAAATCCAATATTCGGAGCCTTCAGATCAACCTTTGGTTTTTTGATACCTCCCCCCAGTTTGGGCCCTGATATATTCAAATCTGCATCTGGAAGATTTACATCAAAGTCACCATCTGGACCTGAAATCTTTGGCTTTGACATACCAAACGAAGGCATCTTTAAATCTGGCATGTTAAACTTGCCTTTGGGACCTTTGAGATCAATGTCAGGGGCATCTAAATCCGCATTTAGTTTTGGACCTTTGAAATCCCCTTCAATGTGTGGTGCAGATATATCTAGGCCTCCCTTCATCTTTGGCATTTTAAGGTTTGCATCAAGATCTGGCCCAGACAATTTTGGACCAGACAGATTGAATTTAGGCATTTTGAAGTGAGGACCTTTGATGCTCCCTCCTGGTCCATCAAGGTCAATGTTAGGTCCACTTAAATTTCCACCAATATTTGGAGCAGAAATATCGAAATCTCCCTTTGGTGCTTTAAGGTCCACATCTAGATCTGGGGCATTAAGTTTTGGACCAGATATCTTGGGCATTGAAAACGTTGGCTTCTTCAACTTTAAATCAGGACCATGAAGGTCGATATCCGGTGCATCAACATCTAATCCAATATTCGGAGCTTTGAGATCAACCTTTGGTTTTTTGATACCTCCCCCCAGTTTGGGCCCAGATATATTCAAATCTGCATCTGGAAGATTCACATCAAAATCACCATCTGGACCTGAAATCTTTGGCTTTGACATACCAAAAGAAGGCATCTTCAAATCTGGCATGTTAAACTTGCCTTTGGGACCTTTGAGATCAATGTCAGGAGCATCCAAATCGGCATTGAATTTTGGCGCCTTGAGATCTCCTTCCAAATGTGGTGCAGATATATCTAGGCCTCCCTTCATTTTTGGCATTTTAAGGTTTGCATCAAGGTCTGGACCAGATAACTTTGGCCCAGACAGATTGAATTTAGGCATTTTTAAGTGAGGTCCTTTGATGCTTCCTCCTGGTCCATCAAGGTCAATGTTGGGTCCACTAACATTTCCACCAATATTTGGAGCAGAAATATCGAAATCTCCCTTTGGTGCTTTAAGGTCCACATCCAGATCTGGGGCATTAAGTTTTGGACCAGACACCTTGGGCATTGAAAACGTTGGCTTCTTCAACTTTAAATCAGGACCATGAAGGTCGATATCTGGTGCATTCACGTCAAATCCAATATTCGGAGCCTTCAGATCAACCTTTGGTTTTTTGATACCTCCCCCAAGTTTGGGCCCTGATATATTCAAATCTGCATCTGGAAGATTTACATCAAAGTCACCATCTGGACCTGAAATCTTTGGCTTTGACATACCAAATGAAGGCATCTTTAAATCTGGCATGTTAAACTTGCCTTTGGGACCTTTGAGATCAATGTCAGGGGCATCTAAATCCGCATTTAGTTTTGGACCTTTGAAATCCCCTTCAATGTGTGGTGCAGATATATCTAGGCCTCCCTTCATCTTTGGCATTTTAAGGTTTGCATCAAGATCTGGCCCAGACAATTTTGGACCAGACAGATTGAATTTAGGCATTTTGAAGTGAGGACCTTTGATGCTCCCTCCTGGTCCATCAAGGTCAATGTTAGGTCCACTTAAATTTCCACCAATATTTGGAGCAGAAATATCGAAATCTCCCTTTGGTGCTTTAAGGTCCACATCTAGATCTGGGGCATTAAGTTTTGGACCAGATATCTTGGGCATTGAAAACGTTGGCTTTTTCAACTTTAAATCAGGACCATGAAGGTCGATATCCGGTGCATCAACATCTAATCCAATATTCGGAGCTTTGAGATCAACCTTTGGTTTTTTGATACCTCCCCCCAGTTTGGGCCCAGATATATTCAAATCTGCATCTGGAAGATTCACATCAAAATCACCATCTGGACCTGATATCTTTGGCTTTGACATACCAAAAGAAGGCATCTTCATATCTGGCATGTTAAACTTGCCTTTTGGACCTTTGAGATCAACATCAGGAGCATCCAAATCAGCATTGAATTTTGGAGCTTTAATGCCTCCACCCAATCTTGGTCCTGAAATGTTTAAATCTGCATCTGGAAGATTTACATCAAAATCACCATCTGGACCTGATATCTTTGGCTTTGACATACCAAAAGAAGGCATTTTTAAATCTGGCATGTTAAACTTGCCTTTTGGTCCTTTAAGATCAATGTCAGGGGCATCCAAATTGGCATTGAGTTTTGGAGCTTTGAGATCTCCTTGAATGTGTGGTGCAGAAATATCTAGGCCTCCTTTCAGCTTTGGCATGTTAAGGTTTGCATCAAGATCTGGCCCAGACAATTTTGGCCCAGCCACATTGAATTTTGGCATTTTTAAGTGAGGACCTTTGATGTTCCCTCCTGGTCCATCAAGGTCAATGTTAGGTCCACTAAAATTTCCACCAATATTTGGGGCAGAAATATCGAGATCTCCCTTCGGTGCTTTAAGGTCAACATCTACGTTTGGGCCATGAATCTTCGGACCGGACATTCCAAACTTTGGCATGGAAAATTTAGATTTTTTAAATGTTGCATCAGGACTGTGAATATCAATGTCAGGTGCATCAACATCCAATCCCATCTTTGGGGCTTTAAGATCAACTTTCGGTGATTTTATTTTCCCTCCAAAGTTTGGTGAAGATATGTCTAAATTAGCATCTGGTAGATTTACATCAAAATCACCCTCTGGCCCTGATAGTTTTGGCTTTGACATACCAAATGAAGGCGTATTTAATTCTGGCATATTCATCTTGCCTTTGGGGCCTTTTACTCGAATGTCTGGGGCTTCCAAATCAGCATTCAGTTTTGGTCCTTTGATGCCTCCTGAAATGTTAGGTGCTGATATATTTATATCTCCTTTTGCCTTTGGCTTTTTGAGGTCTACATCAAGATCTGGTCCAGAAACTTTTGGTCCAGACAAACTGAACTTGGGCATTTTCAATTTTGTCCCTTTAATACTTCCTTCAGGGCCATCAAGATCCAAGTCAGGCCCACTAACCTTTCCCCCTACCTTCGGAGCAGACAGATTAACATTTCCCTTTGGTGATTTTAGATCAACGTCAACATCTGGTCCATGTACCTTGGATCCAGACAAACTAAATTTTGGCATCGTTAGTTTGGGTTTTTTTAATTTTGCTTCGGGGGCGTTAACATCAATATTCGGTGCATCAATGTCCAATCCAACGTTTGGTCCTTTGATATCAAAGTCTGGACCTTCAATTCTTTGTGCAGGAACATTTACATTTCCCTTTGGTGCTTTGAAATCAATGTGTGGCATCTGAACCTTTTGTGACCCTGACAACCCAAATTTTGGTAATGTCATTTTCGGCAATCCAATTGTTGAGTATACTCCTTCATTTTTCATACGAGGATTATTGATGTCAATATTGGGTCCCTTTATATTTGGTCCAGATATACCAACACTGGGTGATCTGAATTTACCCTCTGACCCTTCGAATGTAATTTCATGTGGCCCAAGTGTATAACTTGTCGCCTTTGGCTTCACTCTGAGGTCTCCTGTGGCATCACCAGAAACACTGGCGCTCCCAAAGCTTGGAAGTGTTGCGTCAAATTCTCCACGTTTTCTTGGTGCCTGTGGACCTTTAAAATAGAGCGAAGTTGAGTAATTTCCTTCCGGAGCCTCCATCTGAAACAAAACACAAAACAGTTTACGCTTTAACAAGTGTATAAAGTGCATTTTAAACATAGGTTAAATTAATAAAAACAAGTGATACACAAGCAAGCCGAAGTGTCTATAATCGTGGGTGTTTTTGAGTGCACATATATATGTATAAAATCACTCTGTTTATGATTGCTTATATGGGGGCATGTACAGATTAAATGTTATCAGTGTTTAACAATCGTGTTTTAAACAATACAAGCAACAAAATCTCAGTCTCCCCTCCACGTAAGAATATTATTTGAAATCCAGCCATATATATTTCCCAAAAAATGTAAAGGAAAAACTAAATACTAAATATTGCTCTTGAAAGATTGTTAACTTTATAATTAGTTTTTTTACACTTTAAGCAAATTGCATTTTTTTTCTTGTAAATATGAATTGCTGAAAAACTACTCTGCACAATGAGACATCTCCTTTACCAGTGGCAAAATATATTAATAGGTTTTTACCCTTTCAACTGGTACAAAAACTGACACCTTTATACAAGGCATCATGTTTGCAATGACCACAACACAAACAGTCAAAATGCAAACAAAAAGAAACAACTCTGATAATGATAATGATATGCACTGTCCTTGAAGTTGATTGGTCTACACCCGAGACAGCTTTTCTTAGAGCTTAGACTCCGTTGGTGTTGGACTAGATGACGCCAAAAGGCGTATAACTCAAAAACAGTGCACTATCAGAGTATTGAGAGCTCGGGGTAAGCATTTACACTATGAGACATCTCCTTTACCAGTGGCAAAATATAGTAATAGGTTGCTTACCCCGAGCTTTCAATACTCTGATAGTGCACTGTTTTTGAGTTGTACGCCTTTTGGCGTCATCTGGTCCAACACCAATGGAGACTAGGCTCTAAGAAAAGCTGTCTCGGGTGTGGACCAATCAACTTCAAGGACAGTGCATATCATTATCATTATCAGAGTTGTTTCTTTTTGTTTGCATTTTGACTGCTTATGTTGTGGTTATTGCAAACATCATGCCTTGTATAAAGGTGTCAGTTTTTGTACCAGTTGAAACGGTAAAACCCTATTACTACTCTGCACAATTTAATTACATGACATGTGTAGTCACATTTCTGGGGGCTGTAACAATGGTCAGCTTTAAAATAATCAACCTTATTGCACGGTACAGAAAGAAAATGTATGAAAAATAACGCGTAACGGTGAACACAGGGTTAATGCTGCGTGGACGGACAGCGGCTAGGACAAGTGGGGCAATGTACTTATCTGGGAAACATTCTGACAGACGATGGCAGATACTCGAAGGACATTAGAGCCATAATAGTCATGGAGAAAGCGGAATTGAGCAAGAGAAGAATACTATATCTATGGGACCTTTTGCCAATATCAAAATGATGAAAACATAGGAATAGGTTTTCCCCTTTCTGGCAATAAAACAGGTCTTAAGATGTTTAAACACCAAATAGATACCTATTACAAGGCATCAAGTCTGCATCAACCACACATACGTGTGGCAAAACATGCAAACAAAAATACTCTGATTATGTATGCATTGTCCTTTAAACTGATTGGCCTACACCATGGACAGCCCTATTTATTACCTTGTCTCACAAGTGTTAGAATTCTGCTACCAAGACAAATGAAACTATTACACTTTTTATTTATTTACCAGGTAAGGCCTACTGAGCTATAGAGCTATTTTTCAGACGCGACCTGGCCACAAATGATAGCCGAACGAAGTGGCTTATCATGTGGAAATTTATAGCAGCCAAATACTCTCAACGCATCTTTCAAAATGTGGAGGGAAAAACTGGAGGGACCTGGAGAAAAATCCATGCGACCATAGGGAAAACATGTGAACTTCAAGTATACAGCAGGCGCCAGGGTTGGGATAAAATCCATGACCCCCTGTATACCAGGCGAGGTAGTTACCACCACGGCGACTTAGCGGAGAGTTGAAGAAGTGACGAGTGATGGCGCTAGCATGTGGGGTGTAGTGTTGCATGCAGCAGAAACTGGGACTGGGAAAGAAAGACACTAGATGCCTGTACAATCTTGAAATGAGGGTTGTGGCATGGAACGCAGTAAATCATGTGGACGGAGATGAAGAGTAACGTGGAAGTTTCTAGAGAAACTTCAATAGGACAGAAATCTCATTAGAATTGGACACATTCTGGGAGCTAAAGTTTGACGAAGGAAGTATTGAAAACGATGGATATCAGAGAAAGAGGCCAAAAGGCAGAAACAAATAAATGGTCTGAAGTGAAATGAAGAAAACAGCTCACGTTCAGACAGGGTGGGGAAGGAGTTTTATATTCTTAGTTCTTTCGGTAAAGTCACGTAGGTAAAAAATGAAATTAAAATTAATAAAAATAAAACAATAAAATCACGACGTTTCGGAGGCAACACAAGTCTCCGTCATCAGGTGGGACCGTCACAGCCAGATTTGCTGCATCAAGTTAGGGAGGGATTCAAGATGTAAGCTCTTAAATACCAGTTAAGGGGGGAGGAGAGGGGGAGGAGCTTATCAGGATGTGGTAGCCAATGAATGGAACGTATCGGGAGGGGGGGGGGGGGGCTAAAAGAGGGCACGGGGGTACTCGTGAGCGTGGGCGTGGACGTGTTTGTGCGCAAGTCACTGTGGATGCACCTGATGACGGAGACTTGTGTTGCCTCCGAAACGTCATGACTTTATTGTTTTATTTTTATTAATTTTAATTTCATTTTTTACCTACGTGACTTTACCGAAAGAACTAAGAGTATGAATCCTTGCAGTCACGAAAGCTTCAAATCTAGAAGGAGTTTTAGCCAAAGACTTGCTATTTTGTAGAGGACTAAATAAGAATACATAGTCACCTCATACTGGTCTGTTGTGATATCCAGAGTCTCCGCAGAGGCAGAAAGCCGCGGCTTGATCTTCTTGTTGAAGATTCTTTTGTAGCACTGGTCAGTTGTTTCACTCTACATTCAGCACATAACACAGGGCACATTGGCAGAGATTGAAGGAAAGGCCAGCTCTGCCAACAATGGGTAGGTATTTCAATGTTTCCAACTAATATATCTATATATATAATCATTCATGAGCGTAACTAAGTTTCTGTGGTCTCAATTTGTGGCCGTGAGCACTTTCCGAAGACTTTAGCTAAATTATTGCATTATTGTATGAAGGGAATAATAATGGGCTGGTGTCAAGGGTAAGATTTTGGCTAGGGCCTGTTACTTAAATGGTATACATTTTGCAGCATAATCTTTTCATGGTAAGTCACTTTTCCACGATTTGTGGGGGGTGGGGGGGTCAATGTCTGCCCGCTCATTCGCACTTGCGTTCGTGATTCCTACCATGCCCAGGTTTGGACCTTGGAAGCTGTAGTCTGGGGACCGCAAGGTTGGCGTGTAGATGTCGGTGTCGTAGGGGTCGGCCAGCAGGCCGTCCACAGACCCTCGGCGCAGCCGCAAGCCCGTCTTGTACTTGTCTGACATCTGCAGGAGCCTCATGGCGTCCTCCCTCTTCATGTCCTTGAAGTAAATGGTCGCCGACACAATCTGGTCTCCTGCATGCACAAGGGAGGGAGGGAGGGCAATATCTTTGTTGATTTAATGTTGCCTGCACATGCTAATTGCTCTTAGTGGCCTGCTGCCTGGTGGATGATTTAAACGCAGAACGCTGCACCCTAACGAACGCGTCCCTGGTCTACGACAATCTCACGTCAGTCTCAGCAGGCGCTTGAGTTTTATTTTTGTAGGACAGTCGGGAAGGCTCACTCCGACTGCCAGGACCTAGGAGCCTGTGGCCCAACCACGAGACTGAAATTGATGTTGGAGGGGGCGGGGCAAATTGGGGGGGAGGGGCCAGGGCCATCAGAGGGAGGGGCCAAAACTAACATGTGGAGGGTGGGGCCATCTGCGAATAAGCATTGACCCAGTTGGTTAGATTTAACCCTTGTTTGTAATATGTGTTTCCATCTATTCATAATAACAACAACATATATGTCAATCAATAAATAAGCCCTTGTATTTTCATTACAAGTTCAAATGCCTGATGTCGATGGAAAGCGCCAAGGAGATAAGAGCAATACAATTATATCTAGAAAAACACTGTAAGAACACAGATGCGCACTGATGCACAAAGGAACACGCCTGCCTCCAAAGCAGAAACTCTTAGATATCTGATTTTAAAATAGTAAAATAAACATTTAAAACCTATGCCACAAAAATTGTGCCCGAATGATGTGCTTCAATTTACTGTCCCATGACTCTTGTTGGTGAGAAGTGACAGAGAGAGAGAGAGGTGATGGCGCTCTCCATAAGCCAAGCACTAAAAGCCCCCCCCCCCGCCACCCCCTCCACCCCCCCTTGCCATAGCGCCAGAAAAAAATGTGACTCTGGAAACAGCTGGCTTCTCGGTGGGACGTGGAACCTTCCCGGCTCACCTTCGTTGACTTGCAAGTGCTGCCGCAAAGAGTCCTTTTGCACATCCTTGATGAAGATGCCATCCTGTCCGCGGTCCTCGATCGAGAAGTCGTCGGATGTGAGCCCTTGGCTCTTGTCCAGGACCACGCTGTGTTCCTCCATGCTGGCTTCTTTTGACGGCAGGCGTACACGTTCTACGCCTCCTCGCCGTGAGCCTCTCTCAGTTCTCTCTTTGTCTTGTGTGCGTGCGTATTTCTGAAATGTTCAGTTGCGCGTCTTCAAACGTTTCACGCCCGCCCACCTCTCGCGTATGGCCTTTTGTCGCTTGATTTTCTCACGTCGCCGTTATTCAAACGGAGCTCATGGTCGACTGAAATTTACCTGTTTGAAAAGGAGACAATGACAACGATTAGTAGGGTGACATTTATTAAATCAGATGTGCGCACCTAATGTTGAAATACACAGTCAAGTAATATTTTCTAACATCTAGCTTTCCAATATGGACATAGCCACTGTATGTATGTTGAACTTTTTTCGCACCGTACGTAGCCGATTGTGCGAATCAGAGGTGACGGCATTTATTATCGCACAGGTATTTTAAAGCGACGTGTAATTTTGTCTTTACGGTGAAACTACAAAAATAATTGGCGTCCACGTGGGGTTTGCTTTTCGCGGATCCTCTAATGTTTGACGCACTGCGCTAATAAACTTAAAATGTTGGCGGAAAATAAATTGCGGCGTTCGCAAAAATTCAGGAGCCAGTTGCTTCACGACTCCTGAGCGGCTTAACCCCAAACACAAACGTGGATTATTGTATGGGGTACAATTTTTTTATTCGCATACACTGTATTTATAATATATGTATACGGTCATCACCACGATTGTGTGCTTTTCGAAAATAGTAGCCATGCTCTTCTACTAAACTATCGAATATTTTTTTTATTTCACTCCGGTAAGGCCCACTCAGCTATGTAGCCCTCTTTCTGTAGCAACCTGGCTATCACAGATGATAGCTCAATAAAGTGCTGTCACATGCGTTTCTGCGGCCATCTGCAATGCTCTTCCTTCCCATATTAGGGAGCCACTGGAGCTATGCACGATCAAATCTAGATTTAAAACTCATTTCTTTCGAACTGCTTTTCTGTGTTTAGGTTGTTGCCCCTCCCCCCGCACCTCTAATTATCAAGATTGGCTAGGTACGGTGCAAAAAAAGTTCAACATACACATACAAAGTGGCTTATGATGTGGAAATTTATAGCAGCCAAATACTCTAAGCGCATGTTTCTCAATGCGGAGGGAAATACCGGAGGACCCGGAGAAAAATCCACACGACCATGGCTTGAGAGAGACACGCAAACTCCAAACATACAACAGGCGTCAAGGGGCGCAATCGAACCCGCGACCTCCTGCATACCAGGCGAGGCAGAAAACATCTCGCCACTGCTTCTCGATGCAGGTGTGTGTCACCTGCGTGGCTCCCCCCCCCCAGCTTTTATCTCCCCCCCCCCCCCTACCAGCTGGGCCAGGAACAGCAGGCTCAGGTGTAGGATAGAAGAGAGATCACTCCAAACCCCGAGTGTTTCAGAGGTCTCTCGGTTGAAAACATCAAAAGCCGCCCGTGCGAGCAAGCGGCATTGTTTTCGATGAAAAAAAAACTGCAAAACGAAAGGCTAACTATGTGCATCCTGATCCGTGTACACGCCACACTTGTACACACGGCGGGGGGCTATCGTGCAATTCATTTAAAAACACGCACGCACCGTTCTGTTGAGCACTTAAGGCTTCGCCGTCCGTACATCTTCTGTTATCGACGATGCAGCCGACTGCGTGAGTACTTCTGTCAACTTGTAGATGTACGCCACACTTATGGTAGTCAAAATATTTATTTTAATAAAAAAAAATGTTCTTACAAATAGAGGAGTGTTTTTGGTGAAAATGCAAACGTAAATATTGAACCGCTTACATTAATATGTTGTACGCTGGGAGGAGCAGCAGAGGGCAGTGCAGCATACCAGCTATTGTTGGACAGTCCTGGTTGGTATGCTTTCACGTTTTTGCTCCCCCGCCCCTACCTTCAACCAACCCAATGTGGTGAAGTATACTCTTAGGTTTTTTCGGTAAAGTCACGTAGGTAAGAAATAAAATTTAAATTAATAAAAGTAATAATAGAAATAAAACGAAATAATAAATCACGACGTTTCGGAGGCAACACAAGTCTCCGTCTTCAGGTGGAACCGTCACAGCACAATTGCTGTATCAAGTAAAGAGAGAAGTCCCAAAAGACCCGACCTTATATATATACTGGTTAAGGGGGGGGGGGGGGAGCCAGGGTGAAGTATGGTCCAAAAAAACCCCAGAACTTGGACGGCGCGGGAAGGCCCGCAACCAGCAGTAGCGTGACAGAAATGGCTAATACAATCATACCCCGATCTACGTCTCCCGTCGTCACTTTATTATTAACACCGCTACCCGATGTGCATCGCCTAAACCCTCACGTCGCTGACAGCATCGCCATCCGTCCTTTCTCGTTATCCACCGCCTCTCAGCCTCTTCGCCTCCACCACCTTCCCTGCAAATCGCTCTGATTTACGTCGCGCGTTTCAGGAACGGATCCCCGACGCAAACTACATTTTTATTTTTATTTTGGCATGTAAGGCCCACTGAGCTATTAGCTCTTTTACAGAAGCGACCTGGCAACAATTCAGAAATTGACGAAGTGGCTCATCGAGTGGAGATTCATAGCAGGAGCCAAATACTCTAAACGCACGTTGATTCTAAATATGTCGGGAAGCAACGAAGGATACGGAAAAAAAATCCACGCGACCACGGGGAGAACATGCAAACTCCGAATATACAGCAGGCATTAGCACCGGGATCAAACCCACAACCTCAGGTATACCAGGTGAGGTAGTTAACATCCCGCCATCATAAAGATATGCATTTGAACACATGCTTACATCGACATGCATATTCGTACGCATACAAATATCATTGTTGTTGCGTGGAATGTACATATGACTGCATGATCTTTCACCAGCTGAAACCATCTCAACTGGCAAAACCAGCTCCCTCTTGCAGAAATTCCTTTGCGAGGGGTGTGCCCGGCCAGAAGGCTTTTTTGTCATAGATTCCATTCATATAATGCCATGAACCCACACACCCATGAGCAAACCCCCATGAAAATCCAGTTGGGTGAGACGATCCGGTGATCTTACAGTTGTCACGACCCAACCCCTTTATCGTGTGGCCGTATGAGCCACAGGCACTTTGGTGTGACTACTATTAATAATAATAACCACGAGGAATTTCTAATGTGCTCTACAGCTGGGCGATGGTTGCTTTCGGGGGTTGTACCGCTCCACATATCTGGAGCTCCTTAACTTCAGGCTGAGCAAAACTACGGGAGGCCTAGGAACCAGGTTCAGATATCGCCCCAACACTGATGCTAGCCATGGCTGGGAATCGAACTCGGGTAATTGGATACACGGCAAGAGATAAAGATGCCCCAATATTGTATAGCCTTTCACAGATTGTTGGAGCAAGTGCTGCGAGTGAGCACCTATTAAGTGCCAGATCAGCACACGAGGGGGTGGGTGGCTAACACCACACCTCAGCCGCCTTCATGTCCGCAGTGCTGATGTTTACACACTGCACCGTGTACTAATTCACTGCTGAGACGATCTAGGTAAGGCCCAGGACCGGTTCAAATATCACGCGCCACTGATGACAACTTCCTGAACAGGCTCCTAGCGTGTGCATTGAAACTTCAAAAACGTGTCGGGGAGCTACACGAACAACTTAATTCATAAATGCGGCGGCGGTTTTTCCATGTGGCAGCGTCGCAGACGTTAATTATTTAGCGGAGTTTAGCACCTGCAAACCTTCGGTTCGTATTGCAGATTAGCTGGCGCAGAAGCCTCTCTCCGCGCGCATCTGACATGTGCCGGCACAATGGACCTTTTGTCGGGGTCAATGCCATTTTGCGCCTTTAAACATCATCGAGTGTCTTGTAAGCAAGCGGGCGAGTGGAGGTTTTTGTGTACATTTTTTAAATGTCACCTTTTGGTTCTCGCTTAATCGTTGTACCACGCCGTTTTATGGAAACAGCAACAACAAATAATGACCGTGAAGATGTGTGAAGTGTACCTTTTCAAAGCAAAGAGCGAGATAGATATTCTTTGGAAGTAAATGTTCAATATTGTCGTGCCACTGGTTTGCGCTGCAGTTTTTTTTTATCAGGGATCAGCTTTGTATTGTTTTGTTGATACTGTTTTCTGCGTGTTTTATTTGTTGAATTGTGTGAGCGTTGTTGAAGGTAATCTTACTTCCCTTTCAAATGTGCTGGTAAATTAACGCAACTGTTCCAATTCCCATAATTCATACAGAGCCCGGTTTTCTCTTGAGGGAGACTTTCAGTCCCAACTCCAGGAAAACTCGGCTTATTGCGGGATGCTGTGGTGGACCCGATAAACTCCAACTAAAAACTACTTTTTAATTTACCAGGTATGGCCTACTGAGGTATAGAGCTCTTTTTCAGAAGCGACCTGGCCACAAATGATAGCTCAACGAAGTGGCTTATCATCCTGTGGGAATTTATAGCAGCCAAATACTCCAAACGCCTGTTTCTAAATGTGGAGGGAAAAACCGGAGGACCTGGAGAAAAATCCACGCCATCACTGGGAGAGAGACACGCAGAATCAAATATACAGGCGTCAGGGTTGGGTTTCAACCTATGCCCGCCTGTCTACCAGGCGAGGTAGTTAACATCTCGCCACCGCGGCGGGGTCGCTTCGGCACATGATTCTACTCTTCGTGATCAGTGGCATGTCCACTAGGTTGGGACTGTTGTGAGTGACCTCTGAAAAGATGGTGTTCTAATTCATAAAAACCTCGTCACGTTATTGGCCTTCCCGTGAATGTGCTATGACTGTCTTATCTACCAACGATGGGCATTCATAAACAACACGAAGCCAAACAACAAATCACTCAAATGCTGTCCCCATGACCCTCACGTCCACACTACACAACCACTTTGACACTGCCAAAAGCCTACAGCGTGTAGGCCGTCACCTGCCATATTTGTACAATGCCACCTCGCGTCGTGACGTCGTCTCTCATCACAAACACAGGCGCCTTTTACACCGCCCTGAATGTGTCTCAAC